CTTTAAAAAAAAAAAAATAAAAATAATGATTCGGGTTCATATTCAATGTTTTTTTTTTTTAACTTTTTGGAAAAAAACTAAAATTTCGGGATGATTGACATTTTTGATTTTCGATTTTTCTTTTTTATAAAAAACTTTTGGTAAACTTTTTCTTTCTATTTTTTTTTTTAATGAAGAAAAAAATTTTTTTTTAAATGTTTGTTTTTCGTTATACCACTCTGAAAATAAAATAGAAAGAAAAAGTTTACCACTCTGAAAATTTTAGGGAATTTGCAAAAAATACTGAAGTTTTTTATGAAAAAGAAAAATCGAAAATCAAAAATGTCAATCATCCCGGAAATTTTCGTTTTTTTCCAAAAAGTTAAAAAAAAACATTGAATATGAATCCGAATTATTATTTTTATTTTTTTTTAAAGTACATTTAAAGACAAAAATTTCAAAAAAAAAACATCCCAAAAAGTCAATTTTCAAAAAAGTTATGGTTATTTAACAAAAAAAAAGCTGTTTTTTTGTAATAACTCGTAATTTTTTTTTGGTTTGGTAAAAAAATTTGAAAAAATTCTGAAAATTGTTTTCAATAGGATAGAGAAAGATACCAAAATTTCAGAAAAGTCGAAAAGGGTCGGTGTCAAAAGTGGTCGATTTGGCATGGAATGCCCCATATGCTTTGTAAAGAACCCTGTTATTGGCTATGTTGTTAGGTTCATTGTTTGATAAATAAATAAATATGTGGCCTTATATCGTTTGCAAGACATCGTGATATAATTTCTCACTTTATCATATATGTTTAAAAACATAGTTAAGTCTAAGTGCACATTATCATATGTAACTTTTTAATAGAAATTAAGAGATTACCTTATCACCAAATGTTCTAAATAGAATTTCGGCATAGTCAAGATACCAATTTACAAACAACGGATTAGCTAGACCACCCAATTTTTGTAGTCTTATTGGCAAGTCCCAGTGATACATGTTAATATACGGAGTAATATTTCTACTCAATATTTCATCAATAACATCATGATAGTGCTGGATCCCATCATAATTGATTTCGTTGTTGAACCCATTTGGTAAAATTCGTGGCCAAGATATTGATATTTTGAAAGCATTGGCCTGAAAATTTGAATTCGTTTTGATTATAACTGTGCAGAAAACTCACACAGTAAAAAATTTTGCCGTAAAATATTTAACATTCTTATTAATTCTCTTAATTTAACAAAAATAAGTGTTAAGTATTTTAGCATAAATTTTTTTAACGAATTGATGCAAAATTTTTACTGCGCATTATTTGCATTAATAAAAAATGATTAAATTTACTCCAATTTTTTCAACAAGGTCTATGTCAGTTTTGTACAAGTAGTAAGAATTTGCTGCAACATCAGCATTAGCCTTTCCCCATACAACATCTGGTTTTTCGTGAATCAAGACATCCCAAATAGACTCACCTTTGTCTTTATGAAATAACATAAGAATACATTTTTTATAATCTATTACCTTTATAAAATATTTAAAAATGCTATTACTCACTCGATACGTTCCAAGCACCTTCACTCTGGAAAGCAGACGTTCCAACACCGAGTACAAAATTATCTGGAAATTTATTATCATTACAACTTGACAAATTCGGTAATGAAATAAACATAAAAAAATGAAAAAGTTTTATTTTTTTCCAGAAATCAAAAGATAGTGTTTTCTCTACTCGTAAGCACATCTTATTAAATTATGTGAATAGTTCAATGTGAAGGAGTATGACTGATGGCAAGTTTTTAAAATGAAAATTTGCGATCATAAACATTAACACTAATCAATATTGAAGTGTTGATAACGTATAAGTTGAACATTGAAATTAGTGATAGCTTCTCTATCATGAAAAAGTCTTTCATTGGTATGTAAACATATTAAAAAGAGGGATAAATAATATGTTAGTATTTAATTAATCGAGAATGAGTATACTTTTACAAGTTGATACAAAAAATTCCGCTAATAAATAAACATATATTATTGCCGTCAGAGATTTCAATTTTACATCTTAGCCTTACTTTAGATTAAACTTGAGAAAAATAAATTTCATATTAACATATAGTCATAGAAATTTATTCAGTAAACTAATTTATTTCTGAATAATTGTTAAAAAAACAAAAAATCTGGTTATATGATGAGCTAAATCGGCCGGATAGTTTAGAAATAGGAAAATTTTTAAATAAATAAATAAAAAAGAGGTTCTGTGGAGGTGATTAAAGTGCGACGTTGTCGCACCAGTTGCACAATATACTATTGTAAATTTCTGTCATGGCAATAAACCATAATAAAAATTTTGCAAAGATTTTTTAACTGTCTTAAATTAAATTAATCGATTTTTTCTTATGTAAGTAAATAATTTAAATATTTTTCATTATGTTGTTCTTATTGAATAAAAAAAAAATATATTTCATCTTTGAGCATAATTGAATTGTATTAATTATCATTATGTCAAAAAAAAAATAAAAATATTTTCAATTTTTCAAGAGAATGTTTTCTAATCATTATAATTATACATATGTCGTAACATAATTATGATTCATCCTTTTTTATATTTCTTCCTATGCATAAATATCAAATTTTATGTCAATAAATCTTAAAATTTATTGAGAATAAATGTTGACCACGCATGTTCCAAAACATTCTCAATTTTCTGTTGCAAGTCATAAAAAGACCATTCGGCAGTCGAAATGGAAGTAAATTTCATCATAAATAGGAAAAATCATGGATTTCGAGTAAACCGGCGAGTAAAACCTTATTTCACCCTAACTCGTTATTTGTTTACTTACTACTGGTGTCCAGTAAAGAAAAAAAAAAAACGAGTGCAATAGCAAATTTCATAATTGGCATAGCGGAATAGGACATAATTTTGGGACTACACATATAATATGGTACTCAAATTGAAGCTTATTTAAAGAGCTTTCAGATGCAATTTACAGAAATTCGATAAATTATCCCATTCAAAAGTTATTCAAGTACGAAAATGACGAAACGTAAATTTTTATGATTTTTTATGATATTGAAAATTTTGAAATCATGGCATTTCTAAATTACTGGACCGATTAAGCTCATCTTCGAACTTGACCTCGGTATCTATCTGTAGGATAAGTATGTTGAGTTTGGTAGAGATCCATTGTAAATTGGCGACGCTATCGTGGTGGTATGTATGTGTATATATATATATATATATATATATACACATACATATATAAACTTTTGAACCATATGTATTTTCTGACTCAGCTCGTCGAGTTAAAAGTCGGAATATAGCAAAATTTTTCAAAAGTTTCGTCATGAGGACGATTACAATAGTTAGATTTCTATGAAATCTACTAAAAAGGTGTAAACTTGTGTCCCGTTTTGATCTCATAAGCTTCGAATATTTTTATGATAATTTTATTTCTACACGGGTAGTCAGTTGTCGCATTTAATAGCTATTGCACGGAGATACAGTAAAAGTTAAAATTTTTAACTTCCCGCTAAGAAAATTGAAAATTTTCAAAAATCGGGAAGTTATTGGTTTTACCCCGTTTCTCGAAAATCGAGATTTCATCAGATCTCGACGTTTTAAGGTCCTAGGAAGCTTTCCCGACTATTCCCGCGAAGGTGTCACTATGTCTGTATGTGTGTAAGTATGTAAACCTCTTATAACTTTTGAACAGTTGAACCGATTTCATCGCGGTTGGTGCTATTCGAAAGGGCTTCGCCAAATTTAGATTTCCTGTTGATTTGAACTGATTCGAACTGATAGATTTTGAGAAATTAGGAGAAATCTCAAAAAAAAATATATTTTTCCTATAGGAAAAAATTTTTTTCAGAAGTGGTTTTTTTGGGATAACTTTTAAACAGCTCTACTGATCAATTCCAAAAACTAATCAGCTCTCAACCTTAAAAAACCACGTCGATCGCCGCCAATTCGGTCAAAATCAGTTGATTCGTTCGAGAGATATCGTGATTGGAACTTTACATGCCTAATTCGGATCGAACCACCGCTGAACTTAAATTTTTGGTCGGGGTTATGAGGACAATGCAATAATCTTTCAAAGCAGGAGATCCGAATCCATGAGTTTTTTATTTTGAGTCAGACTGTACATTCCAGATACCCACAAGTAATGTTCAAGGTTAAATTACTTGCTGTTCTCTTAACGGTTTGCCTCTCTTCGATGGTACAACTAATAAAACTTGATTCATTATATGTGGTAGGAGAAAGAGTATAAAAGCAACGTGCACAAACAAGCCGGTCCGGTATTTTAATCGTCAAAACAACGACTGTGAGTGTTTCTTAGTGTATTTTATTTGAGTAAGTAAAAATTTATTATTTTAGTATATTTTTTATTTTAACGCACGCTCGTTATATTTAATTTTCCTAAATCATTAAACTTAACGTCATTTAATCTTAAATCTGTAATTTTCTAAGTTAAATTATAAAGTTGGATTTTCATCAAATTTTTAGAAATTTCTTCCCGGAATCAATAAACATTGTCGGATTCTTCAAGATAAAAAAACTCGATAACTGGAAATTAAAAAAACAGAAAATTTTTTTTTAACTAGTAAAAAACAATGTTGTATTTTTTGATTTACTTTAAAAATAATTATTACGTTGTATTTTAAGTGTTCGATGATAACAAAAAAGAGGCACTTGAGTGGTATTAGCAAAAATGTGGAGAATATGGGTTACAGTCTTGTAAAAACCAAAATAGGTATACAAGTAAAAACGATATTATATATTTTAAGTGTTCGCTTAAGGGGAGAAATACGTGTATAGCGAAGGACATTTTCATGCTGATTTTCGTTAATTGTTTTAAGGTATAAAAAATTAATATAACTAAGCCACAATTTTTATCTGAAATGAATGGTACAAAAAATTACTTTTTTTTGTGCCATTGATTTCAGATAAAAATTATGGCTTCTATCGTGTACAGTTACCAACTGTTAAGTCGGATGATAACCTACGATATGTATCAGATGATATCTCCGCTAATTTTTAAGTTATACTGTTGTAAAATATGAAAAAATACTCATCAATATATGTGTAAAATAACCTGATCGTTGCAATAAATAACATTAATTTTTTATACCTTAAAAGAATTAATAAAAATCAGCATGAAAACTTCCTTCTACGCGTATCCCTCCCCCCTTAAAAATCATTACTACGTTGTATTCGAATATGTAGAAACGGTACTATCCTTGTTGCACTCATGATTTTAAAGCTATTGCAGTTTTATGTTTTTCTTTTAATTAAACAATGAGAATTTCGAAAAAAACACTCTGCTATGAAATAGATCATTAAAAAAACTATTACGTAGTAGAGCGTTTTTTTTTTAAATTCTTCTTTGTCTAGGAGAGAAATATAAAGCTGCAATTGTAAGGACCGGCTGTTAAGCAAACATTATTCATCAAATAATAGAATAGGAAAAGATAACTCATATCAACACAATAATAAAAGTATGTCGAGGGTCTATAATATATGATGCGTGAATCATTTTCTATAAATATAATAATTTTTGTACTCAAACATTTTATCATAATTTATCATAAAATATTTTTTATCATAAAAAATTTTTGCATTTTTTTTTGTAATGTTAAACATCAATATTCTTAAATTTTTTCATCAATCTCTTGCTTAGTCTTTTAACTAATGAAATTCAAATATTGTGATAATAAATAATCAAACTTTAATATTAATTTCAATGAATAAAATAAATTATCCGGATCATCAATTAAGGAGGTTCTTTCGCTGCTAATGTAAAATAAAAAATGTTAGATTATATATAATTAAAATCAACTTTTCATCCCGTATAAGTATATTTAATACTTTTCACTAAAAATAATTTTTCTATTGGTTCATTAATAAAGATTGTTTAAAAAATATACGAAAGTTATTTATGTCGAAAAATAATTAAATAAATCTTAAAATAAAATAAGGTGATGTTTCTATCTTACATGCCAATTAAATGTTGCTTTAATGGTAAATAATTTTTTCAGGCAACCAACGTAAAAGCCCTAAGATGAATATGATGGAGAGATACGATGTCTCATTCACCGTCACCCATACCCACTGTTATATACAAACTGTACGAAAACAAAAGTTCACTTTCAATCAAGATTGTTTGGACAAAATTATCACATTCCACGGATATTGGCATATAGATGATCCCGGCAAAAGAAAAATAAAAAATTGCGACTTTGATGCTTCTAAGGTACAACATCTGCTACCTGATTTTCGGAGTTCATGGTGCGACACTTGCGGTACTGCAGTAAACCCATCATCCAAAAGAACACCATTATGGGAGTACGAATATTGCAAGCACTGTGGCTCTGCAGAAATTATTTATTCGAATTTTGAATCTCAAGATAAACAGATTGCATACTTCAATTTCGGCGTTCACTTAAGTCAAAATTATAGTCCTCTTTTGGCCTTGGAAAATAGAAAAATAGTCCCTGGTTACACTTATCGTTATCACGATATTGTAGCTGCAATAAATGATCATTTTGGTGTTAAATGCAAAGTTCAAGTTTATCCAGATCCCGTAAGTGTATATTTATAAGAATTACCTATTAAGAAAATTTAATTTGAAAAAATAAAATTTATTTTAATTTCACAGATTCGACCGGAAGTTTGTTACTTAAGTGAAATAAAATTGGCTTTTTATTCTTCTGCAGTAAAAAGAGATAATTTGATAGATCACCCGGAAGCAGATGAATACTATACAAAATTTCAAGATTCGAAAATAACTTTTCTGAAACACGTACCTTCAATTGACCCCGCGATACCCCAACCAATTTATCCACTACCGGAAAAACCAGCTGTTTCGGAAACGCCATCATTTTTGGAAAATTTGTGGAAGCTAATAATACCAGCTTTATCTGTAGCTCCATGGGTAATATTATTCATAGTGATATGGATAATTTTCGAGTTCACTAGAATGTACAGGTAATCAATAACATTTTATTGAAATCTAACTATCGCATCTGTCCAAAAATTTTACTATTTTCTGACTCAGCTCGTCGAGTGGGTTCAGAAAATACACAGTAAAAATTTTTTCGTCAAATTTAACACAAAAATTTATGTTGATGACTTTTTTTACACAATCTGTGTTGAATCAACATACTAAAATGTTAAATTCTACACAATTATTTTTACACTTTACACAATGACGAAAAATTTTTTACTGTGTATATACACGACATGACCGCGTTTATTTCTGCTATAACTCACACAATTTTTAACCGATCTCCATAAAATTACAGCAATTATGAATTTTCAAAAATTAAGAAAAACTTTAACTTTTACTGTCTCTCCGTGAAATAACTATTGAATAAGATAACTTAATAAATGTTGTGAATTTTTTTTCTTAAAGCTCATTAAAAAAGCTTTAATTTACATTGTTACATATTTTCTTATATTAATAAATTTCAAAATGACAGCAATTTAAAAGTTCCAAAATTTAAAAAATCGACGAGTTTTACTAATTCTCAGCGAAATTATTATTAATTTTAATAAATTATTAAATTTCGGTAAGCTAAACCTGAAAGCTTATTAAATAACCTTCTATTAATCTATCTATATTTTTAAAAACGCTAAAAAAATTTAATATTTTCCGGCCCATTTGATGAAATTTAACTTTTGCATTAGTTTTTTTATAATTTATATGCGACAGTGTTTATATTATTATTATTATTTGAATAGCAAATCGTCTTCCATTTCGACTGGCAAATGGCACTTTTTTATTCTCTTAGCTTATTCTCTTAATTCAATACTTTTAAAAATTTTAACGTTATTATAAGTTAAGAAATAATAATATACACATTAAATGTTTTTTTTTTTTTAATTTTACAGAAATCGGGAATCTACTACTAATGGGAGATTGTTTTGTGAACCGAAGCGATTTAATGTTATGTAGTAGACATGAGGGATCAAAAGTTGAGAATTTTTTTATCATATGAATAAGGCAAAGTATTTATCTAAATTATTCTAATACTCACAAATACCGTCTAGATTTATTCGGCAAAATTTCATGACTTCGCTTGTGAGGTTATGACGAATAAATTTATTGATGGGTAATCAATGATGAATATATCCTTATAGGAAAAAAAAAATGTTAAAAATCGATGAAATACAAAAAAAAAGCGATTAAATCTCTCAAAAACGTAAAAAAAATGTTAAAAATATTACAAAACTATAAAAAAAAAACTGATTAAAACTGAGATTACCCTATTTATACTAAAAATTTTGCTTTTTTTTATAAAGAACTTTGTTTTGCTGCCTAAAATTTGTATTTTTCAGATTTAAATCGAAGACACTTCAATTCACTCACTCGGAAGAGACTCATTCAGATTTTCAGTCTTTTCAACCGTCGAAAAAGTACAGAAATAAAATTTGATAAAGTTTTGAGGCTGATTAAACTCAAATTTTCAACTTTACGCACTGGAATTTATAAGGTATAAGCTTTTGCAGTTTTTACTCTTTTAATTTAATTTCTAATATATTTATTTTTTATATAAATAAAGAAAAAAAATGAATTTTTGTGCAACTTTATTTATTTTATACCTTCTTTAATTTTAATAATTTGTAATTAAATTTATAAAAAATGGCCGTAGGACTGTTTTCTATGACGGGCAAAAGGCAATACAAAATTTAAATGTGATGCAGAGTGTGAAATTAATTTTTATGAGTAACAATATAATAAATCTACTCTTTTACAAAGCTCATTAAAATCTTAATAGATATTATTATCTATATTATTATAATTAATAATATAATGTCAATAATTGTAAAAAAAAAATATTTTATTACAAATACTTTCATTTTACTGTTTACTCATTATCCATAAAGATTTGATAATTTTTGATTAGCAGTAATTTTTTATGTTTTGGTTTTTATATTATCCATAATCAGTTATAAATAACAATTAAAACTTGAATAGAGTGAAATAAATGTAATTGACTTTTATGACTGAGAAATCAAAAATTGATTTCTCAGTAACGATATGGTAAATCGATCTGAAACTTTGGTGGTGAGCTATTGATGTAATTATACTAATTATGTTTCGATAAAAAACAATTTTCATAATTTTGGTAATATCTGAATTATACGATAGTAATAACTTAAAAGTTAGAAAAGACAAGATCCGTAGATAGTCTATTAAAGAGGTGAAATGAATTTATAATGTATAAAAAAAAAAGTTTTTAAAACTCACTCCTAGGGTAAATGCACCAGTTGTTGACCGGTCACCAATTAGTTGACCGATGTATAAAAAAGTTAATTAATTAATATTTTACAAGGGTTTTTTTTTCTTAAAGTATTAAAATAAAAAAATATGGCATTTAATCATCATAATAAAAAATTACGCAATTAATTGCGCAGTGATTATAGCTTTAAAAAAATATTCTGAGTTTGTTTACAACGCAACCAGCCATAAAGCGGTCAAAAATAACTACCGTACAATTGGAGAGTGAGTGCATTTCATAATTAATTTAGTGATATTTATCGGCACAATATCAAATATTTTAGTTTTATTATGTTAATGAAAGATCAGATTCCAACTTTTTTGAAAAAATAAAGTTAAATTATAAGTTGTAATATTATTTTAAGACCGGTCAACTATTGGATCCATCAGAAGCCCTTTACCCAGTAAAAAATTCATTCGATCATTTATTAGACCCTCTGATTTTATCACAATCCAAATAATGACCGTATATTTATAATACTAACTTATTCTTAACTTCAAAATTAAATCTGTCAAGTGTTTAAAGTACTTAAGTCATTCAATATTTTGTAAATATAAAAATAATCATTATAAAAAATGTATATTTACAATTAAAATAATACTTAAAATCTTTTTTGATTATTAAATTTTATTTTATTCTAATTTTTTTAGTGAACGGTTATATCAAACAACGAATTATTAGAAGAAAAAAATGCTAAGCAATTAAAAAAATAAAAAAAAAAGAGTTACAAGCTAGTAAAAAAGCTTTAATTGAAAAAAAAAAAAAGAAGGAGAAGAATAAAAAAATTTCAAGTGAATCAGAAGAATTATCATCATCAAAATGAATTTGTGATTATTAGTGACCTAAAAAAATGTGACTTTATGTTAATTATTGATATTATTTTATAAAAAAGTACGATTTAAAATTATATTATATGTTTAGTTTTGTTAAAGATGTCGTAAATACTTGAAAAGTACTGCATAAATTTAATTACATAAATGTAGTTTACAAAATTACTTATAATTATTTCAACGGTCAATTAATTGGAGAACGGTCGGTCATTTATTAGGTTTCTTCGGTCAATAATTGGTGATTTAAAAATTTCAAGATTCAAATAACAAAATTAATATAATTTTGTCAATTTTTATTATAAATAGTTATTAATTATTATTAAATAAGTATTTAACTTTAATAAAATCCATTATAAATTGGTTTTAGTAGGTTAATAGATTTTTTATTATGTTAATTGAAGATCAGATTCCAACTTTTTTGAATAAATAAAGTTATATTATAAGTTTTAATATTATTTTATGACCGGTCAACTATTGGATCCGTCAGAAAGCCCTTTACCCAGTAAAAAAATTAATTCGTTCATTTATTAGACCCTCTGGTTTTATCACAATCCAATTAATGACCGTATATTTATAATACTAACTTCTCAACCTTAAAATTAAATCTGTCAAGTGTTTAAAGTACTTTAGTCATTCAATATATTTTGTAAATATAAAAATAATCATTTTAAAATGTATATTTATAATTAAAATAATATTTAAAATCTTTTTTGATTATTAAATTTTATTTTGTTCTAATTTTTTTAGTGAACGGTTATATCAACGAACGAATTATTAGAAGAAAAAATTTGCTAAGCAATTAAAAAAATAAAAACGAGTTACAAGCTAGTAAAAAAGCTTTAATTGAAAGAAAGAAGGAGAAGAATAAAAAAATTTCAAGTGCATCAGAAGAATTATCGTCATCAAAATTAATTTTTGATTATTTGTGACCTAAAGAAATGTGACTTTTTGTTAATTATTGCTATTATTTATATTATTTTATGAAAAAGTACGATTTAAAATTATATTGTGTGTTTAGTTTTGTTAAAGATGTCGTTAATACTTCAAAAGTACTGCATATATTTAATTATATACATGTAGTTTACAAAATTACTTATAATTATTTGAGCGGTGAATTAATTGGAGAACGGTCGGTCATTTATTGGGTTTCTTCGGTCAATAATTGGTGATTTTAGTATTTCAAGATTTAAATAACAAAATTAATATAATTTTGTTAATTTTTATTATAAATAGTTATTAATTATTATTAATTAAGTATTTAACTTTAATAAAATCCATTACAAATTGTTTTTAGTAGGTTAATAGATTTTTTATAGCTTAGTACAGAAAAAGAAAACCTTAATCGGTCAATAATTGGTGCATTTACCCTACAAAAAAAAAAATCTACTTAAAATAAAAGCGATCAGGAAATAGTGATAGATTTTGAAAAAAAAAAATTATTTGCACATTTTAAATACAATATTCAAAAGAACATCCTAAATTTAATGTCAGAAAAAAATTTTATTTTAATTTTCGAAGAATGAAAAATCGTTTGCTAAATAAAAAGAAGGCAAATTTATGATTAAATAATTATTGGCAATTATTTTTTAAAGTAATAATATATTTTCACGATGAAAAAATTATTTTTTTTTTGTTAATTATTGTGACCACTCAGAATATCCACTCCTCATGCTTCTTGGACTAAGTCCAAAAAGTGAACGATCATCGATGACTGAGTTCTTGACGTAAATCAAGTCCTCCAGTCGTCCTCACGCTCTGAGAAGAGGATTATTCCTCATCATCATGGCTGTATCGACTCCACAATTGAGTAGAGAGGATGTGAAGATATACTACAGAAATGATCCTGTGAAGTATGATCTTAATTATTTTTCCCAATTTAATGGGTTATAAAAGCTTAAAATAAGAATCTACATAAGAACAAATAAGTTTTAGTTTCGCCATCTAGCGGGACTTTCTGAAGCTTAACGGTGTAATTACAAAGTAGCATTTACATTGAAACTCATGTAATAACTCATGTAATGGCTACTCTTTTTAAATTTTATTGTGATGTCTCTCTAAGTCCTAGAAGTAAAATTATAGAATATGCAGCAGTAGACAAATCTTTTACTACTTTGTAGTAACAAATGGCGAGGAGTCAAAGTTAGATAATTAGAAACTTATCTATTGAAATTTTTACAGAATAAAAAATTAACTCTTTAAAATTTCAAATCTCGATTGTTCCGAAAATAAAAATATTTCAAACGTAAACTAACTTACATCTTTTTAATAAATAATACTATGAATTATACAATTAAAAAGTGCCATTCGGCCAAACCTGACATGGATAGGTAAAATTTATTTAACAAATGTATAATAATTTATAATAAATGACAAAATACGTTTATTAAAAAATTTTTCAAATTTTCAAAGCCACACTTAAAAAATTAAAAAAAATTCAAAAGTCAATAAATTATCGCCTAAATTAAAGATAATTGTTTATGAGGCATTTCACGTCAAATCGACCATTTTTGACCTTAAACCTCTTTTGATTTGGCTGACACTTTTCTATTTTTTTCTACCCTATAAAAAGTTATAAATTTTTGAAAAAAAAAAAAAAATTTTTTTTTTTTTTCAAATAGCTGTTACCTTTTTTAAAATTCAATTTATTGAGACGTTTTTTTTTTTCAAAATTTTTGTTTTTAAATGTACTTTTCGAAAAAAAAAAAAAAATTATTCGAACCTATCTTAACCATTATTTTTTAGATTTTCGAAAAAAATCAAAAATTTCTCGATGGTTACTATTTTTGAATTTTTTTTTTCTTATATGAAAATTTGGCATTTTCTGCAAATCCTCATATTTTTTCGAAGAGGTGGTCTACCGATTTTTGTTTTTTTTTTTAATTGAAAAAAAAAAAATTTTTCTTTAACTTTTTTTTTTCATAACACCATTTTGGAAATTTCATGAGTTTGAAGAGAACTTCTAAATTAAAAAAAAAAAAAAAAAAAAAAAAAAGTAACAGTTGAAAGTAGTACCTAATCATCGAAAAAATTAATTTTCTTTTTTCGAAAAATTAAGATAAAAAATTCAAGGAAGCTTCAATTATTTTTTTTTTCAAAAACTCGATTGAAAAATAAAAAAAAAGTTGTTTTTAGGTCCACTTTTTAACGAATTACAGGGATTCAAAAAAATTATAGAACGCTAAGTATCAAAATAATTAATATTTTAGTACAATGATTTTTTATATTTATTTTTAGTAAATTAACACAGAGAACTGGGTTAATCAACAGTACAAGCCCAAACGAGTGTTATCATAACTTTTATAAATTGTAACACAAATTCAAGGTATTTGTCGATCTTATTATTATTGTTATTTAATAAAGAGAATTTTTACTATTGTAAGCCAATTTTACCGATCCAGTTGATGGTAGACTAATTTAATTTTCATTCAATTTTTATTTATTAACTATTTTCACCACATTATTGTCAGTATGAGCACTTATTTATGCAAAATAAAAAAAAATTTTTTTAATTATTGGATATATTCACCCGAGGATGGTATGAGTGCTCATACCGACAATAATGTGGTGAAAATAGTTTTATTTATGCAAAATAAAAAAAAATTTTTTTAATTATTGGATATATTCACCCGAGGATGGTATGAGTGCTCATACCGACAATAATGTGGTGAAAATAGTTAATAAATAAAAATTGAATGAAAATTAAATTAGTCTACCATCAACTGGATCGGGAAAGTTGGCTTACAATAGTAACAATTCTCTTTATTAAGCAAAATCACCGATCTTAGGAATAATGTTTAACAATTATTATTATTAATAATTTTTTTTATTATATATTTTTTTTTAATTTCATAAGGGTGCAACAAAGAGGGGTGAACCAAATTCAAATTTTGCCTTTTACTACCAGTTCAATATAAATAATGAAAGTATAATTTTTTCTGAATGAACTTGGTCAGTCAACATCTGACCATTTTTTGGCTTTATTTAAAAAATTAATTAGTACTAAAGAATTATTTTTTAAAAATAGCACTTTTAGATTTTTAAATTCCTACTGGTGTAATTTTTAAAAAAGTTTTTGTTGTAATTTATGATAATGATTAATCAATTTATGATAAAAAAAATCCTGTAAAGTGTCATATGTCTATTATTATTTACAAATTATGTAAATTTAAAACGAACAATCTTTAATTAATGATTTGCATTATTTTATTCCAAGTCCGTTATATGTATGATTATTACTTTTTATTTTAGATGTTTAGTTATAATTTATAATTAATAATGATTGTATGAATAAAAGCAATTAAATAGATAACGATTAAGTCAATGTTAATTTTGTTTAACTATCAAATCCATAAGATGTATGTCCTTGCTGTGTCAAAGCGAAAGCAATATCTTCCGGGGTGACAGTATTCCGTTGCTCACTAGTTGTGTTAATCATAGCATCTTGTAAAATATTAACAATAAAATTCCTAAGGGCAGAATTAACTTCTTGACGGATTGCTGTAAAACCTCGACCACGAGCTAATTGATAAAGCGAGGGTTTCAGTTTTTTGTTCATAGTACCATTAAAATTACACCGGCTTACATTTTTTAAACCTTTTCTTCCTGATCCTCTTTTATATTTATTATTCCTAAGATCGCTCATTGATTTAGATTTTATTTTAACCACTGCATTAATTAATTATTAAATTTACAGTTAATCATTTCGTTTGTGATTTACTAAAATATTTTAATAATTCAAGTGATAAATTAAATAAGTTTTGATACATTAACATCAGAGTTACTAAAGTTTTAACACTAACATTAATTTTATGCTTGAGATGAAAGAATCATTAAATTTTTTTACATTTAAACTGATACATATTTATTTGTAAATTAATTTATCTTAGATTATTTTAAACTTGAATCATTTTTAATCATAAAATATTTTTTTTTTGTAATTCACTTTTAAGCTATCTTCTAAAAATTTTGTATTTTAAAGATGAAATATTTCTTCTTAAATAATTTTTACGATAAAATAAAATTTTATCAAATCATAGGATTTATATTAAATATGTAACCCAAAGAAGAAAATTTTGTTGATAAATTTTAAAAAACTAATAAAACAAATACAAAAAATTTCTGTGATTAAAAATTTAACTTTACTCAATTTAATTAATAAAATTTTTTTTTCGAGACATTAATTAACTTCTAAAAAAATGAATTCAAGATCTAGGCTACAAATAATAAATTAATAAAAAAAATTTTGTAAAATACTCAAAAAGTTAATTAAAGATTTTAAAATAATTATTTAAATTGATACTTAAATATAAGATGATGAATGCAAATTTACTTAAAAAAGAAAAAAAAATTTTTTCATTTAATTTATCTGATAATTTTATTTTTTTCGGACAGAATATTATTATACATTGATAAAGTATAAAAAGATAAACTAAATGGTTTATTCAGCAGTTGGCATGGATTTAATAATGTCCGAATTTCCTGGGTCAGTGATGGACAAAGTACATACTCTGAAGTACTTTCCACAAGCTGTACCAAGTTCAATGTTGTTACCCGTGTAGTGGTGAACTCCGGTTTTGGCAAGCATAGCGTAGTACTCGATTTCAGATTTTCTAATTAAAAAAAATAAAAAAAAAATTCAGTTAGTCAAAAATTCATTCTTATTTTGTCACATTGATTCAGAATATGTTTGTTAATGTGATATTGAAATTAAAAGACATTCAATAATTTTTGGATTTAATCTTTAACTAGTGTACAAAAAAAATAATAAATTAAAAATTGGTAAAAAATTGAAGAAACTAAATGCAAATTTTGTAAAAAAATTTTTTCTGTTGTCATCAATCAAAAAAAAATTTTTAATAACTCCAAATGTCTGTTAATTTCAATGTTAAAATCAGTTGACATCAGACAATTTTTTGGTTTTATTGTATAAAAATATTTGTAGAAAATAGGATTTATAGTTTTCTAAAATTTCAATATGATTTTTTTCTTCAACTTTCTTTAGAAGAATGTATTGATTCAAAAAATCTGAAAAATTGTCAGATATCTTAATTTCATATTAATTCTTCATTATAATTAAAAAAAATTTTTAATTGAAATAAAAATTATGATAAATAGGGCTAGGATTTTTTCCTTAATTTTAAAATACTAATTAATAATTAATGGTATCAAATTTTTTATATTACGGCGGAAATATTGGTCGTATAAAAAAATTTTTCAAACAAAAGTTGGTCCAAATTTAATTAAAAAAAAAAAAAAGTCATAATTTTTCTCAAGACCAATAAAAAAGCCACAATTTCAAAACCAAGATTTTTTTAATTAAAAAAATTTTGAATCGTTTCTTATGAATATATTAATTAAAAATAATTATTTCATAAAAATCTTTGAGTGAAATGGAATTAATAGTTTTCTAAAATTTCAATATGATTTTTTTTTAATTTTTTTTTTAGAATGTATCAATTCAAAAAAATCTGAAAAATTATCACAGGTCTTAATTTCATAAGATAAAAGACCCAGTTATTGACACTGGCCTAGTTGTTTGACACTTGCAATTTTATTCTAATTAAAAAAAAAAAAATTTTCTTAAAAAATAAATTATCTTAAAATTTATAATTCAAAATTTATATTTATTAGAGTTAATTTTTTTTTTTTTAAATTAAAATAACATTACAAGTGTCAATAACTGGGTCTTTTACCTTATTTATTCATTACAATTAAACAATATTTTTAATTGAAACAAAAATTATGATAAATAAGGCTAGGATTGTTCCAAATTTAATTTTATAAAAAAAAAATGTCTCCTTTAATTTTTTTTCAAGACAAATAAAACTTTGAATAATTTATTATAAATTTTAATTAAGAAATTACAGCGGAAATATATAATAATAAAGTTAGCCGACATTTTTGATTTTGCCTATTTATTAAATTAGAACTAAAAATTTTTTTTTTTAATTGCACTTACAATTTTTCAAATTTTTTACAAGTCAATTTTTTTTTTAATTTTTTGTAATAATTTTCTTGAATAAAAAAAATTATAAAAATTTTTAAATGTCGGCTAACTTAATTTTCATCGGAAATATTAGCCGCATAAAAAAAAATTTTAAGAGATATTTCTGATAGAAAATTAAACTTTCCACTTTTTTATAGAAATTTCTTTTTCAATGCTAACATTTTTGTGAAAAACCTTGGACCTATTAATGAAAAAATTTCATTTTTTTTTATTAAAAAAAAAAAAAAATTATTACCTTAGAGGTGGAGTGTTGTTTCCAATAATTACAAGCTTAGCTTTTCCTTGTCTAAGAGACTTGATGGTCTGCTTGTATCCCAAGACGTACTTTCCAGACTTCATGACAAGAGCAAGTCTGGAGTTGATGCTCTCCATAGCTTTTTTCTTCAAAATACATAAATATTAATTAGATAATTAAAATAATAAATTAGTACTATATTTTAATTTAAATTTATTAGAAGTAAATAATGAATAATTAATTATATCAATTGAAATATTATTTAATAAGTGAGGTTAACCCCAGCCACATGGTGATAAAATTTTTTAATCATACCTGTTTCTTTTGTGCAACCATTTTGATGGATTTTTTCCGGCCCGGAATTACTGCAATAAAAAATAATTTATTTAATTATAATTTAAAAATTTTTGAATTAATTTTTAAATATATTTTTTGAAAAATATTGGTAAAAAAAAAAAATAGGTTAGTTACCTCGAGAATGCCGTGTTCAAAAGAGTAAGAGAGAGAGAAGGGAGAAATAAGGAAACATTGATGTTGCTCTGTAGATGACAGTGCCAGGCAATATCTGCGTGAGAGCTTATCCTATATTGGTATTTTATTTTTTGTGTTTCATGTTTAAAATTTGCAGGTGTCGCTTCTTGCAAATTTAGAAATTTAAAATTGTTTTAAAATTAAAATTTTTGTTAGTTATTTATAATTATTTTCTATGACATTAAAATTAGCTGTCATTTGACAATTTTTTTATTTTCTTTAACAAAAAAATTTGTTCTAAAAAATTATTTTTAAAAAGTTGCATTTTTAAGTTTATTAAATTTCTACAAGTCTATTTTTTTAATAATTTTTTTTGCCATAATTTATTTATTAAGGAAAATTAAAAAAATGGTGAAGTGAGAGCTAAATTTAATGTCATACCATTTAAAAATTTTTTTTTGACAACTAAATTGTTTGAAATGTCAATTTTATTTTCCATAATTTATTTATAACAAAAATTTTTAAATTCCCAAATATCTGCTAAATAAATTTTCATTTATTTTTTAACATGATTTAAAAAAGAAAATTTCAAATTTAAAAAATGATAATACTAATAATGATAGTAAAGTTAGACGACGTTTTTAATTTTTTGATTTTTTTTAATAATTCAATTAGAACAAAAAAAAAGATTTTTAAAAAATTGCACTTACAGTTTTTAAAGTTTTTTTCAAATGAAATTTTTTTGTAATCATTTTTTTAATGAAAAAAAATCTTAAAAATTTTTATATGTCGGCTAACTTAATTTTCATATTATACTAATGTTAGCCAACATTATTTTTTTTTTTTTTTTTTTTTTAATTATTAAATCAGAACAAAAAAATGTCTTTTAAAAATTGCGCTTAAAGTTTATCAAGTTTTTTACAAACGAATTTTTTTTTTTTGATCTTTTTATAATAATTTTTTCAATAAAAATTGTAATCAATTTTCAATAAAAATTAAAATTTTTACTATTTATGTTATGTTATTCAACGAACTTAAAATAATTGTAATTAATTAATTTATTAATAAATTAAAACAAAAAATTTCAAATTTGTCAAATTACTTAAAATTTCACTTACAATACTAAAATAAGCTTTCAGATTAATCAAAAAAATTTTTACTTCATTTTTATAATTTAAGAATTTTTTATTAAAATTAATGAATTTTCTTTTTTATTTTTCTATTTATAATTTCAAGTCATTTATTCACAAAGCAATAAATTTTTTACCATAAAATTTTTTTTGGTCCTTAAAAATATTCGAAAGATCCTAAAATTCTGAATAATTTCTTCATCCTCACCAATATGACCCGCTCATAGGAAAATTTAATAGAAAGTTTTTACAGTATGCTTGCATTACTATTTTATATTTGTAACTCGTCATATTTAAAATAAAAATGTATGTAATGAGCATTGAAGTAGTTTTAGGCATATGTTGAAGAAAAATAAATGAATTATTCATACTTAAAAAGAATATTATTTATATTGATCGATACTTTTGTAAAGTTCAATATCTTCTTCACTTATGTAACGAAGATGATGGGCGCAGCTAACTGTGAATAGCTTCATAGCAATAAACCCGCCAGAATCATCAACGCTTTTGTGAGTGATCCCAACCCCACCTAAGGGTCTAATTAACGTAGTAACTGCTTGAGCATCGAATAACGGAACGACTGTTTGTGCAGCATCTTTCCAAATATCTGAAGCGCGAAACTTAACGAACAGATTGGTTTCTTCTTGTGGGATGTGTGAATAATACTTTGTTGGATTATCTGGTCTTGACAAGACCAATTCACGCCTTGAAACAAAAAAAAAATAAAAATTTCAATTTAAATCCCGTGTAAAAAAAATCGTCTTAAAAGTGTCTTAAAAATGTTTTTTGTTTAAAGAAATTTTTAAAGACCATTTTAAGATGAGCTCACAGTGACAGAGCCCCGGAACATTAAAACGGAGCGTCTTAAAAAAGTCTTAAAATTCTTCACGGAAAAAAAAAAATAGTAAATGCAACATGATGCCGTCTTGATAAATAAACATGATGAAATCATGTTGCAGCGACATGATTTATCATGTTTCGGATACATGAAAATCGTATTGTGGTAGCATGAGAAAATCATGTGGCAGCAACATGATTTTTACGTAGCCTTAATAGTATAAAATTAAGCTGCAACAACTAAATATTTATGGTTCAGAAAAATTATTTATTATTAAGCAACTAGATTTTTTCGGATTTATAATATTGCAGATGAAAATTAGAGTAAATTATCAAATTCAATCATTTGTAATTGATATTTTTGCTTAAATTAATTATGTTATTCTTTTGACAATTTTTTTTTTTAGTCAAAAAGATTAGTACGTAATAAAAATATTTTTTCTGAACCATAAATTAGTTAGTTGTTGCTGCTTAATTTTATGGTATTAAGGCTAGATGAAAATCATGTCACTGCAACATGATTTCATCATGTTTATTTACCAAGACTGCATCATGTTGCATTTACTATTTATTTTTTCCGTGTCAGATAATAATTTTTCAACAATTTCAAATTCAATTTGAAAAAAGCGTACTTAAAAATTTTGCGGTTAAAAACTTGCAAAATCTTCTAAAAAATTTCTAAAAATTAATTTTCATTACAAATTTGAGAACCAAATTTCAAAAATCTGCTCTCGAAATTTTTTTTAGCATCTTAAAAGAGTCTTAAGATAGTCTTGGCTTGTGTCACGTTTAAGATCTTAAACAAACGACATTTTTAACACGATTTTTTTGACACGGGTTGTAATACAAAAGTAAGACACAGTTTTAAAAGCAATGATTATTCTGCACCTGTCTCTTTCATAGTAAATAGATGGATACGGCATCGTTTCTGATGTTATCCAACGGGCTTCATCTCCGCTAAGAACACCCGTCTCATAATCGTAACTAGTTGCTAGGATTTCTAACTGTAATGGACTAGTATTTAATCCAGATGATTGTTCAACATGTATCAATCTAACTCCAGTGACAACCATGTCATTGGGTACTGTGATATCATCAAGGAATAATGATCTTTGTTTTGAGCCAATCAGTGTATAGTCTTTTCCTTTGACTAAAGGAATCTCGATGTTTTCTTCTAATTTATAAAAAAATCCTTCCGATACATTAGGTTTATAAACAAAATCTCCAAGGTCAACCCATTTGAAAGTTTTATTATTGATTTCGCCTTCTGCCATTAGTTGTCCATGTTCGATTTGGATATGAATCATATTATTTTTTTGAACAAATTTAATACCTGTGACAACCCTGGAATCCATTAATTTTCTATATAATTAAGAAAATAAACGGAAAAAATACGTTGTAAAATTTATAGAAAAGTTTATAAAATTTACAAAATTCTATCTATAAGTCGACTTATGTAATATTTACAGAAAATATATTATTTTTACATGGTAAATTCTGTTATTCTAAAGTTATTAATTAAATATATTGAGTTTATAATTATAGTAGAACTTTTTCTGGTAATTATTACTCAAAATTTATCGTAATTAATTAATTAATTAAGTGCATTACTCGAGTCAGCATCATTGCAAATTAATTTCGATCACCTTTTTGAATTTTTTCAAAAATTTTAATACTTCTGATTCTTTACAGCGTACTTCTAAACCAATTATTTTTTTTTATAAACAGTAAAAAAAATTATTTATTCACATATAATGAAAATTTTATATTTACTATATATATATGAATAGATTATTATCTACATTTTTTAATCGATAATCAGACTTCATTTTAATTCAAGGAAGTTACTCTGCATAACATTATACTCTTATATAAGAGTATATAGATTTATATAAATCTATATAGATTTTACAGAATTTATCTGTAAATTTTACAAAAAAAATATGTTATTTTCACATAAACTCGCCTGTAATAATTACTTTTTTTTTCTGTAAATTTTAAAGAATATATACTGTGAAAATTTTGAAGATTATTTTCTGCAAATTTTACAGAGTCGTTTTTTCCGTGTAAGGAAAATTTCGTCTCCGGCGTATTTATATGTCATAAAATGCGTTTTTCAAATTAAATTTAGTTATCATTGGAAAGATCTTGACCTCAATTTTTGTCTTTTCAATGTTTCATATGCTTTTTAGCAATAGTTAATTTATTGTAATAAGTTTTCAAAGTAGTTCTAAATAGATTTTAATTTCGCGATAAAAAAAATTTGTTTATTTATTTATTTTGTTTTGTAAATTTCAATGAATTTTAGGTCAAAAATTAATTACATAACTAAAGGACTAAGGAAAATTTTTTAACGGGTATATATTTATCATAAATTGGTTTTGATATTTTTTCAGCAACAGTCAGTTATGATTCAAATAATTGAGAGAGTAAAAAAAATTTTGTGACGAGCATATTATTATTTTTAAAGGAATTTTTATCGTTTAATTAATAGAATAGAAAAGAATTATTGCCTTTTGGTTTTATATATTTTTTAGTAGTCAATTTTTTATGTCAAGTTTTTGGAAGAGTTTTTAATAGTTTGTTGGTTCTATAAATTTGTTCCGTCTCATTTTCCATTAAATTATTTTTAATTGATCCTGTGATAGTACTATTATTTTTTAAATTTATTTCAAAAGTACTCAAACTATTAATAGTATGTCATAAATATTAAAAAATCATCAAGCCAAATTTTTCTTATTCATAATCCGTAAATCTCGGCAGTCGGATAGTGATTGCAGTTTGCTAATATTAATTGATAACAGAATTAAAATGTTATTAATTTTGAAAAAGAAAAATATAAATTTCTTTATCATCAATTTTAAATTCCATATAAAACTATAGATGAACCCATATGCGTACCTATTGTCAGAAATATTAGACATCTGAGGCATCAAACTCAAGAAACGCATAGAAGTTGCATCGGGATCATCTTCAGTACAATGACAAATACAATTGTCACAATTATATAACCCAGTTATTGAGTTTTCAACTCTTTTACGAGTTCCTAGACACGATTCTTTAGGCCCATACCACCCGTTTTGACTTCTAATCCATTGAACACGCCTTGGATTATTCCCTGGCTGCAATATTTTCTTTTATTTCTGGTATTTTATAAAACTTCCAAAAATACCTGCTAATTTATTAATATACCTACGAGTTCACATAATGTCGAAGTTCCAATCCAAGAGCATTTATTAATTTTTCCACGACAATCTCGGTTGTGACAATACATAGCCTTTGTTCGTAATGGAGACCAACTGTAGCAGCGATAAATACCATTGGAAGAAATATCCTCACAACTACTAGAGCATGTTTCTGTTGGATACGCTTGAATTTCATTGATAAAAAATTTTTGGAAAAGATGCGTTAATTCAATATATGTTTTATCTGTCGAATAACAACTTGATATAAATATTTAATTTTTTTTTTAATTATTTTGTGAATTAATAACCTCGAATGTGTTGTGGTGGATCACAGCGTACAATTTCTCTAGAAGCGTTGGAAAGTACTAGTTGAGTCATGTTTAAATATTTTTCATTTCTATCAGCACTTGCTAATGCTACTTTTTCTATCTCAGCTTCAAATGGAACTAAAATTATATTTCGAACTTAGGGTAAATGCACCAGTTGTTGACCGGTCACCAATTAGTTGACCGATGTATGAAAAGTTAATTAATTAATACTTTACAAGGGTTTTTTTTTTCTTAAAGTATTAAAATAAAAAAATATGGCATTTAATCATCATAATAAAAAATTACGCAATTAATTGCGCAGTAATTATAGCTTTAAAAAAATATTCTGAGTTTGTTTACAACGCAACCAGCCATAAAGCGGTCAAAAATAACTACCGTACAATTGGAGAGTGAGTGCATTTTATCATTAATTTAGTGATATTTATCGGCATAATATAAAATATTTTAGTTTTATTATGTTAATTAAAGATCAGATTCCAACTTTTTTGTAAAAAATAAAGTTAAGCACACTAAATACGTTAAAAAAGTTAATTAATTAATATTTTACAAGGATTTTTTTTTTTTTTCTTAAAGTATTAAAATAAAAAAATATGATATTTAATCATCATAATAAAAAATTACGCAATTAATTGTGCAGTGATTATAGCTTTAAAAAAATATTTTGAGTTTGTTTACAACGCAACCAGCCATAAAGCGGTTAAAAATAACTAGCGTACAATTGGAGAGTGAGTGCATTTCATTATTAATTTAGTGATATTTATCGGCATAATATAAAATATTTTGGTTTTATTATGTTAATTAAAGATCAGATTCCAACTTCTATGGAAAAATACAGTAAAATTATCAGTTTTAATATTATTTTAAGACCGGTCAACTATTGGATCCGTCAGAAGCCCTTTACCCAGTAAAAAAATTAATTCGTTCATTTATTAGACCCTCTGGTTTTATCACAATCCAATTAATGACCGTATATTTATAATACTAACTTCTCAACCTTAAAATTAAATCTGTTAAGTGTTTAAAGTACTTTAGTCATTCAATATATTTTGTAAATATAAAAATAATCATTTTAAAATGTATATTTATAATTAAAATAATACTTAAAATCTTTTTTAACTATTAAATTTTATTTTGTTTTAATTTTTTTAGTGAACGGTTATATCAGAGAACGAATTATTAGAAGAAAAAATTGCTAAGTAATTAAAAAAATAAAAAAGAGTTACAAGTTAGTAAAAAAGCTTTAATTGAAAAAAGGAAGGAGAAGAATAAAAAAATTTCAAGTGCATCAGAAGAATTATCGTCATCAAAATTAATTTTTGATTATTTGTGACCTAAAGAAATGTGACTTCATGTTAATTATTTCAATTATTTATATTATTTTCTAAAAAAGTACGATTTAAAATTATATTGTGTGTTTAGTTTTGTTAAAGATGTCGTTAATACTTCAAAAGTACTGCATATATTTAATTATATACATGTAGTTTACAAAATTACTTATAATTATTTGAGCGGTCAATTAATTGGATAACGGTCGGTCATTTATTGGGTTTCTTCGGTCAATAATTGGTGATTTTAGTATTTCAAGATTCAAATAACAAAATTAATATAATTTTGTTAATTTTTATTATAAATAGTTATTAATTATTATTAATTAAGTATTTAACTTTAATAAAATCCATTACAAATTGTTTTTAGTAGGTTAATAGATTTTTTATAGCTTAGTACAGAAAAAGAAAACCTTAATCGGTCAATAATTGGTGCATTTACCCTACTTAGTTTTCAATGAAAAGAATTTTTAAATAGATTTCTTATACACTCTATTTACTAAAATATTTTTATATAATTACCTCCATGCTCCTCTGCTAGTAAAACATAAGAAAAAATGAACATTATGTAAGATAGAATTTCAACGTGGCAAAGAATAGCGTAAATCTCATTTATTTGATGGAAAAATGAATCTTTAATGTGACAAAGTTCCGTAGGATGACTGCTCTAGTAATGCAAAAAAAATATTCCAATCATAAATGTCACTCTGATTATATTAAAAGATAAATAATCTTGAACGGAGAAAATTATTTTGAAGACAACCGCAGTTGTTTTGCTCCACAAGAATTTCCTGCCTTAAATCTCTCCGATCATTTTGGTTTAAGAGATGAATATTGTCACTTGATTCAAGATTATATTATCTACGATTATACAATGGAATTTTGTATCCAAGAACAATTTTCGAAAATTAACAATAATTTTATTTTCTTCTAATAATTTTATATTATTCTTTCAAAAACTAGTTTATTCATTCGAAATAACAAAAAAATCTATAAAAAAACTAAATTTTTTATTTCAAAATGATTTGAAACATATTCAAGACTATTTAGTTTAATTTTTTTAAATAGAAAATAGTGAAATAAATTCGAAAATTTTCAGTTCTTACGTTATCGCGTATCTTATTCAAGAGAAATAAATTATTGGATGAAATCAAGAACTTTCTTCGAGTCAAATTCTTTAAGAGAATTTTCTACTTAATCTAAAAATTTTAATTTATCAATCAAGAAGTAAATTTATTGAATTAAAAGAACTGAATATTTTAAAACCAGAATATAATTTTGATGAAAATATTTTTCTTGAACCAAGTAATTGATTTTTCAATTTTTTTGCACTAAATTTTGTATTTAATATAATAACAATGAAAAAAAATTAAACTTGATTAAAGAAAAAAATTCTTGAACTAAGAAATTTTCTTTTGTTTAAGTAAATATTTCTTAGTGAAGAATTTATCTACTTGATTTAGACGATGAAACTCTTCAAAATGATTTTCTTAGTTCAAGAATTTTTCACTTGAATCAAATTTTTTTTTTCTGTATGTATTCGTAAGATAAATTTTATATTTCTTACCTTTTGTCGCAGAACTAAAAGGTCAAAAAGTCCAAGACGAATGGGCTTATATGTATGAGGATTAATCTGGGATGGTACGAATAATCTATAAATCTGTTCCATGGTATCAGTAAGACTGCCTACCCGATGAGAAACAACTACATTTACAAATTCTTTCATTACAGTTTCATGATAAGTTTTGTCGGCTAATCCAGATTCCGAATATTCTTTGTAATGTTTATACATTCCTCCTATTCGGTCCGTATAAATAAAAAATGAATGAAGCGTTTCATCGAGCTGATTTTTATAGAAAAATGTGTTCGGAGATGACACTTTTTTCTTCACGAACATATGTACAGGTAACTCGACAACTTCTTTTGTAGCGTTCTCTAATTTTTTTTTTACAGATACAAACCATTTTTTGTCGTTTCTAAATCCCATCATATCAGTGCTAATGTTGAACAGCTTACGGCGGGTACTTTGAAAGTAATTTCTATTTAAACTATTCTCAAAATATACACTTGTCACAGGTATTATGATAATACTGATGGCAAATATTGATAAAAAATAGAGTAACACTCTTGGCATAGTAACTAAACTTGTGATACCATAAATTATTAACTAAGTAGCAATAAGCGTTTTATGCGAACAAAAGAAAACTCGTTAAAATCTGTAATGCTATCAAACGCTTTCAATATCGCAATGTTGTTTGATTTAATAATTGGTGATATGGAAAAAATTAAAGTTCATTGTTTTCAAAACAGTAACACAGCCTGAGAAAAAAAGTTTCTATAATCAAAAATAATTATATATTCATATGTAAGGGGCCATTCATTATAATTACGTTAGGACAATTTTGGTGACTTTTGACCCCCCCCCCTTGCCCCTATGTAAGTATATGTAAGATTTCTTGAACCCCCCTCCCTTTTCTCACGTAAGATTTTATCTTGATCTTCTAAATAATAAACTGTTATGTTAGGAAAGGATCAGTTTCACTAAAACTTACAGGTCAACGTGGATCCATCATTTTTATTCTTTAACAACTAATAATGGTTTTTAACAAGAAATGTTTTTTATTTTTTAAATAATAAAAATGTGATAATACTCGGAAAAATGTACTATAATAATATAATACATTAGAAGGTCAGAGAGAATAGCTGCTATAAACAACAACATTACGTTCAAAATTCCAAATTTCTCAACCTCAACATTTGAACACTCCTTTGTTACATCCGCAATCAGACTTTGGAAAGAACTACCTATCCCATAATAAAATTGAGATGAAATGTATGTGAAACCAATTTATTCGTGATGTGATTGGTCGAAAATAAATATTCTCATTCTGATTGGTTGAAAGTGAATATACTATACATAAACGACACATAAATATATCATGACAACAAATATGACGCGCGCGCTTGCGCGCGAAAATTAAATTCTAATCCCATAATAAAATTGAGATGAAATGTATGTGAAACCAATTTATTCGTGATGTGATTTGAATCAGGAAAGAGATGGCTAACTACTAACTTCATATATACATTCTGAACTTAGACAATAAATTTTACTTGTTATATGAAAACTGATATTAATTTTGTTACCATTTAAGGATTGTAAAATGAGCTGATTTATTTGATTTATACTTATTTGATTATTTGATTTTTTTGATCTATATGAATTATATAATTTATATTTTATTTTTATTTTTATTTTTATTGAAAAAAACAAACCCAACCGCTTGCGCCATTAACAGGGTTAATAGAATTATACATAAAGTAAATTTATATATTTACAAAGCTTACCAAGATGTCGTATAACTAGTACAATATTTAATATCGAATATAATATTTTAATATAATATTTAACAAAAAATTTAATATTCAATATGATATTTATGCGTAATTTTAACGTTAAATAAGTAGCTTGGCGACACATTAGAGATCTTAGATAATTTAATATTATAGAAAAGGATTGCACAGGTTCAAAACTGTTATTTTTTTTTTTCAATAGCAATAAAAATTATTTAAATGAAATAAGAATTTGACTGTACACTTTAACATTATGAAAACTATTTGGAATACAAAATGGAATTAGATTATTAATATTGAATTTTGATTCACGAAATATTACGTAAGAATGAATTTCACCTCCCTTCTCCCCAACATAAAGACATGTAGAGATTTTTCTTACCGCCCCTCAATACCCTTGCGTATCAGAGATGAAAAATTAAAAACAATCAAACAATTTATTAACAAACTCAAATCACTTATATCTAAGTCCAGGGCCGAACTCCTTCGTCGGATAGACTCTGTATAATAACATTATAACTCTTGAATACCAATATTAATAAATTTAATAAAATAAATAAGTGAACAAAATATAATAAAAATTAGAAACACGCCAAGTTTGGAACTGTTGCCAAATCTAGGCGCAGGGAGAGACGCACACGGAGAATGAAAATCCCCGTGACAATGTCTATGCATCAGAGTGTAAGCAATCGAGCTTACTGTTGGATGTTGATGATTCTTGAGAACGTTAATAGCTTTATAAAATTTTTCATCATTTGTCCGTCCGTCGAGAAGTAATAAATACGCTGCAAGAAAAGATACTTCTTTGACATTAACCGCTACTAAAGCTTCAATTACATCCAAATTATTCCAAGGCCCAGTATAATCATGGTTAGCATGTTTAAAGGCATTCAAAAAATGGTATAAATATTTAGCAATTTCCGAAATATACTCTATTGAAAAGGTTGTAACCCATGATGGTAACATTTCGGTAATTATACCAGCAAGTTCTTGCGGTGAATTTTCAGCTTCTGTTAAAGTAAGCAATGTTAAATATAGAAACGCTTCTGGATCATGGTGTGGTTTCAGTGGAGAATTAAACAATTCTAGTAATATGCTAACTAATTGTTCTTGCAAAAAATCACATAGTAAATTAGGAATAATGTCACAAGTAATTTGCCGGGTAAAATGTCGGACAATTAGACTGTGGAACATTGATATCTTTCACTATTTCAGTCAAGATGTCTCGAAAATGATTCAATCTCTCTCTCTCTTCAAGTTCATTTCGCGCTGGAACAATATAACAATTGATCAAATAAGAATGCCCTGAAGAGAGTAAATTTTTTGGTAACGACACATCAAGAACATAACTATCAATAATTTTTTTATGTTGTTCATCAGAAAAAAGAGCGGATATATCATTTGGGACATCAAGCAATTGCATGATATAATTCCAATCAATTTTTTTCGGGTCCTTTTCAACATTACAAAGCTTTCGAAAAACAATAAATAATTTTTCAACATAATCCGCAACATATTCGTTAGGAAGATACTTAAATTCTAGCAAACTATCAAAAATATCTTCATCATCTGGTTTAAGATCATCAAGACACTCTTTCAGCATTTCCCAAGTTTCTTTGTTAGGATTAGATTTAAAAACACCAAATACATTAGAAAAAACTAATGTACGAATCGTTTGATGCGTTTCTGATCTCCACAATTCACTTAAAGTTCTACGTAGTTGCTTAACATCTGCAGCCATACAAAACAAGCGAATGCCATGTTTCTTTATAGATACTGGACGATCTATCAGGGTCAATGCAAATGGTACGACTTTAGCTACAGATGTTCGCCGGCTTACATTGACAAGACAATTGATTATACTATGGATATAGTCACCAACACAGAATTTCAGGATGCAATCTAAAGAAACTGCTGGGTTGACTCGATTGAATGCCATTGAAGCAGAGCACACCATTTGATAGTCAATTTTTGCATCTTCTGGGTCAACATCTATCGTCGCAGACGATGGTATGAAAGGAGTAATCACCTGTTCGAAAGCCGGTCCTTCTAATAGTAGCGCCAAAACAATCAATGCTTGGGCATCTTTCGTCTCCTCGATGATTTTCAAACACTCTTCCGCGAATTTAATCGGCAAATCTTGATACCAACGAGATGATTTTATGAATTCATGAATTTTTGGAGTATAAGTATATCCTATGCATGTTTTCAAAGAATACTTCCAATTACGCATTATCATTTCTGGATTCGTTTTGAGTGTTGGTAGCAAATTTGAGAGGTCTGAAAGAAGTAATTCTTCTTTAATATTTGCGGCTAATTCTTCAAAGAGATCATGTTCTTCTTCTTGTAAAATTGTTATTATAGATGATAATAAATGACAATCGTACGGGTCGTTTTCATTTATAATTTTCTTAGTAGCATTCAGTACCCAAGGAAAATCTTTGATTGACATTGGCTCGAAAGGAGACTTAGCTTTCAAGTTATGTTTGTTGAAGGTATAAATTGATATTATCACATTTTTTATCAATTCAGTACTTGGATAATTTTTGTCATGGGGTTTCTTAGTAGGAAGTACTTTGAGAAACTCCTCCAAACACTGTTTTTCAAACACAATATTATCTTCTAAAATATTAAATCGATTCTGAGATTGCACGAGAATCAAATCGGTCAGAAAGCTTATTTTATCTTCGATAGAATGATTGTTTTCTAACTCAAAGCGAATTAAAGAAGTTATTAATGTTCTTTGTGATTGATTATACCATAAATCGAGCTGATTTTTGATATGCATGAACTTCAAAAAATTGTAAATTACATCCCAATGTTCTTGTGATAGATTTTTCAAGCAATTGTCTGCGGATATCATATCTAAAATATCTACTAAAATATCCTTTTGTTCGTTTTTATGTCTCGTTGTGATGTACTTAAGCACTTCAAGCAGAGCGTTATTATCTGAATTGACATAGCAAGTGTAAAGTAGTTGTTTAACTAGATGCAACCGCTTTCTTTCGTCAAAAGTTTTCTTTATCAGTGTTTTTAAACACTCTATCGACTCTTCCGATGACAGATAACAAATCCATGAACTATTTACGAAATTAAATGTATCAGTTGGTTCATTTTCTATTTTGACTTTCGCTTGTTTAATTCGCTCATCACGTGGAAGTAATATCAAAGCTTTTCGGGTAATTTTTTCAGTGCAGTCCAGCAGATTCAGTTTATATACTTCTTTGAATGTGGAGAGAATCAGTGGTAATTTTTTACCTTCGGGAACAAATTCAAGGTACTCCAACAGTTTGTCGAACTTGAATGATTTCAAATCTTTAGGATACAACTGTGTGAAAATAATCTTAAATTGCTCTTCGTTCAATTTTTTGGTCACTGTTTTTAAATCCAACACTTGTAAAAATAATTTAGCGTTTTTCAGTAAAGCATCAATGCAATTTACCAAAAACAATTCAGTGCGAGTGTTACTAAGTTTTAGATAGAAAGAACAACCGTGCATCTCAATAAGCTCCACAAAAGCTTTCGGGCATTTCTTCACCAATCGAGGAATAAAATCTAAAAAAGCAGACAAATTAACGCGTTTCAAATTTCGTTCAAACGGATCGTCACTTATTTCGTTCAGCTTTAGATATTTAACAATTAATTCTGGATACTTGTAAAACAAAAATCGTACAATTCTATTATCGAGGCGCACTTCATGTTCTGTGATGCGATTCCAGATAAATGATTCACTGCAAGCTTTGAGAAGTGGATAAGCTTGCTTCTCTCCGTACATCTCGCAAAGCGAAACATAAAATTTTTCAGCAATGGCAGATTTTTCACCCAAATTGTCACCTAAAGTTTTGATAATTTTAATTCGACTTTGCAGAGATACATACGGTAAAATATGTGTTTGATAGTACTGGACTGTCGAACAAGCTTCAATACTGCCGCTGAAAAACCACTTAACTTTAATTGCGCGACTGAAGACTACTGAGTCATCGGATTTTAGTGCGTCAACAATACCATCAGGTTGCCGTAGTAATCGGGCAATTTCCACTTGTACTAGAGGTTTCAATGCTTCTGGTACTTCTTCCAAATCAAGAGCATCTTGATTCTTCGATTTTGATTCGACGATTTTTTTCGCAATGCGATTTAGAGCGTTGAACTTTTCACTCAATTTACTTCCCGGAATTTTTTGGATTCCACTCAGATACGGTGATAATTCCATGACGTTCATATTTGTTTAAATACCGGCCACCAGTGATCAATGTTGATGACCTTGGATTGTTACGATGATGATTATTATTGACTATCATAAAAAATTCAACACAGCTATTGCGTAAAACTAAGTATCACTTATCTTAATAATTATCACTGATTCTAATATAATATAGCACCACAATATGTAATTTCACTGCTTTATATTGTTTTAATGTTATGTAAAATAATTATTTTTAAGAAACACAGAATTAATTTGATCAATTGTATTTAAGTTGAGTTTGATGAATTTAATGCACTTAAATTTGTAATAAAATATGTGAAGGCACCACGTACGTATATTAAATGTTCACGTTTAGATTCAACTTGTTTTTAGTAAGCCGTTATCTTTCATTCTACGCATGCTCCTTTTCATATAATAGTTTTACTTATGTAAAATAAAATGACAAAGAATAAAAATTATACGTAAAATTAGTCTCATAGGTTTGATAAATGATGTCACCTCAACTACAACATCATCAATTTATTATTAGAAGTGGCCTTTATTTGACAACTATATAAGTATGTTTTAAAAATGATATAGTAAACTTAACAGACATCTACTAATTTTTATAGATTTTTATATCAACAACTGAATTAATGATCAACAATTTTAATTAGAAAAATTCTACATAAACGTGAGTTTAGCGTAAATATAAGGTTTTTTCAACCAATAGCATGGCAAGAAATTTCTAATATTCACTCTAATAGCCACACGCTGAATCCACTCACAGTGTCCGAATAGCCTTACCGATTTTTATTACAACTAAATTACTGATCAACAATTTTAATCAGAAAATTTCTGCATCTAAAAATTTATAACAATTACAAAGGGCAAATTTTTTTAAAAATATATTTATTTTCACAATTGACTTGTTATAAAAATAAAAAATTTACCTTTACTCACAAATCCCTGTTTAAAAATATTGATTGAAAAGAATTAAAAATGATGAAATTCGAATTCTTTTCAATAATTTCAATTCTTTTGTTTATATATATATAGATATACAATTTGCATGGAGTGACCGCTTTTCAATTCTTTTCAATCAGTATTTTTAACCAGGGATAGTATTTAAAAAACATTCTGGCAGTAAAAGTTAGGTTAATAAAATTTTTCATTTAATTTTCTTTTGAATAATTGATTAATTAATGCATTGATCAATTAACCTGAGGAAAAAAACTTTTATCATCCAAAGAAACAATTGTACATAATTTAAATGCAACACATAATTTTATAAATACTTCTACCTTATTTTTTTTCTTTTGAAAAAACAACCAAGCATTCGGTCAATTTCAAAACAAAAATACGTATGTGATGACCTCGATGATTTCTATCATTATCAATAACTATTAAAAGAATTTTTTCCGAAATTTACCACCCAAAATTTCGCTCAAAGCTAAGGAATGACATGAATAAAGAATATTACATTATAAAATTGTAATTGGTAAAGTTTGGAAGAAACAAAAGTGGAGAGTCATGTGGTGCTTCTTTCCACATTTTCCACGTCTGTTTGTGGATGCGCAGGAGTTGGAATGATGTGGTCCGAGACAATTATAGCACCTGTCATGCTTGATAACAAGCTCTTCACGTTGTTGAGTTGTCTTATTAATATATTGCGGGCACCATGAGAAGTAGTGATTATCTGAACAGATAACGCAGCAAGGTAATGATCTTGCTCGAATAGAGTTGTTCGGAAGAGTTGCTTCGACATGATGAACCTTTACGCTTGAAGATGATGATGAAGTGGTCTTTGGGTCACTAGAGCTTTCATAAGACTTCAGCATAAGGAGTCTAGAGACCATAAAGCTTGCCAACTTGTTCCAGACTGGTGGTTCCTTGGTATTCCCGAGATGACGTTCCCAGGACTTTAATATTTCTGGGTCGAAGCTTTTGGTGGTAAAATACACGAGAAAGTCATCAATGCCAGGCATTGATCGCTTGAGTAATTCTAAGGTATTGCGAATTCGTTTCACCGTAAAGTACAGATGTTCGAGTTCTACCGCAGATTCCTTGGTCATCTTTTTCATGGTTGCCGCTGAGTGTAAGACGTTGTACAAGATTACGCGTTCATTATGATAAAAATCAGTGACTCGCTCCCACGTAGCTTTAAAATCCTCTTCAGTTATGATGGTGCTGTTGAGGAAGTGAGAAGCAGATCCAGTCATGGCTGCCTTAAGGTAATGGGCCTTGGAAATAGTATCCACCGCTGGATTATTCACAACCATTTTTTCAAATACAGCTCTAAATGGCAACCATTCTAGAAATGATCCGTTGAATTTTGGGATTTTTAGTTGCGGAAGACGAAGTGCATGATGGATGACTCGATTACTATCCCCTGTGGAAGTGCTTAATCTACTCGTAGATGTTTCTCGTACTGGAATAGAGTTGGAAGCGATGAGGGTTTTGACCTTCTCGAGTGCATCGACGTAGATTTTTTTAATAGCATCGAAGTGTTTTCGCTTGAAGTAACTTCTTTGCATGGTTTCCATCTTTTTGGATTTCCTCAGAGTGTTAACTGCCACGCTGAGGGCACGATGATTGATTTTGAATTCCTGCCAATGTTCCTTTAGCAAGTCACGTCTAGTTTTGATACGTACTGGGCTGATGCTCTCAACGCCATTTTCGTTTAATTTTTCAGCGAAGTTTTTAATTAACTTCCTCAATTTGTACTGCTCTTCGATCCGTTGATGTATTTGCTCAGTTCGCATCTTGTAATCACTAAATCTAGCTCCAGGGACCAAAATGTTTGGTTGCTTTCTTTTATTATAGCGGATTGGTACAAAGCTTAATTAAGCAATATAATGATGGTAAATTTATCTGGTTCTGATGAATGCAAGACGATGATGTTAGCAGGATCGTCGATGATTTCGGCTGGAGGTTTTCGGGTGTGTGATGTTGGGATGTGCCAAGTAAACTCCTGATGATGGTTGGAGATTCGTCGCTTTTCTAAGTGTGATTCGACTGGATTCTCGTAAGGACAATGATTTTGGCTCGTTCAATATTATCTCTGTGAATCAAAAATCACATTGTAATGAATTGGTTTTAGAAATCGCTTTGGATAGCGTAATAGGTCGGAGAGCATAGTGAACTGTATGAGAATGAGTTTGATTTGATCTCAGAGGAATTCCAGGTTGAGATGCCTGGAAGAACAACAGATGACTGAATTATTGAGATGAAAGTAGATTATGATGCCAGAGTCGATTCAGGACTATGTGATAGGTCCTGAACAGCATACCTCTGGGCTTGATACATGCTTTGTTGTTAGGAGACTCAAATTGGTTTAGATGCCATTCCAGGACACAAAGATCCTAACAGGAGTTCTTCAAGATTTACTTTTCAGTTATTAAATCATGCGTTATTTATAAAGTGAAAATGCGTGAAGACTATCTTAAAAATTGCAAACCCTTATTAAGAAATCTAATTAATGATTTAAATGCATCGGATTTGGATACTATATAGACATACAATTAACATGAAGGTAATCATTTAAAATCATCTTTCTGAATCAGGGAAATAACAAAGATAACTCAAAAGTGTATCATCCCCGATAGGTTGAGTAGATAATATAATTCTTTGAGTATTTGACGTTTTTTATCGAGTGAACTTTACCAATTGTAGTAGATTTAGATTTAGATTTTATTTATTGATGCCAAGGCACAGGCCAAATGGCAATTTCTATTACATAGTATAACAATTTTTACAAGAAAACAATTTCTGTTTCTGTGAGTACATAATATAGTATTGCATAAAAATTAATTTAAATAATTCGTATATAAACATGATAAAAACAAATTAAACTTAGAATTTAATATAGAAAATAATAATTTAAAAATATAATATTGATGTCATCAAATCAGATGATCAACTTAACATAATAAATCTGCATTTGCACTGATTTTATCCATATTTTAATCTTCAATCTTTAAAGTAATTAAGTTCAAATTTGTGATTTATTTGACGTCATTTTAATTATCAAGATTTAATAAGTAATTGAAAACTTTTTTTTTAAAGACTTGTAGTACGTACCTTTGAGTATTTTATTTAGGGATAAAATACTATATCGTTGGCCGGCAGAGTCAATTTGATGTATACAACAAGTTTTTGTGTTAAATTTTGAAAAGTTCCAGGTGATAAAAACTCTTTTGGCAATTGGAGCTGCCTTGAGATGTTGTATAGTATTTCTTATTGATGATTGATAGATGGAACGAGTGACGAAATCCACTGTGTACACTGATGTGAATAAATCCCCACAAACAGACTGGCAACTTTGAATCGACTGGGGAAATAGGTAGAATTTTGGAAAGAGGTATCGTGAATTTACGTGGTTAAAAGATTGGTGAAGACTGACGCTTACCGCGAAGTGTTTTTTGAACTCCGGCGTACAGAGACTCTTTTTATTTTGCAATTGGTGGGAAGGATTCCGAGAAATATTCTTGAGAAAAAGCGTTGACAAAAATATTACGTATATAAAAAAAAAGAGGGAAAGTAACAACGGAAAATATTTAAGCCGAACCAGATGAATGCCCGGGTTGATGAAAACAAGGAAATGCATTTACGGCCTCAACGGCCAGAAAGTCATAAAAGTAGGTACTTGAGAATAGAGACCCGCATACGTGCATAAGAATTTATAGTTGGAACGAAATATTTTGGAGTTTGGCATTTTATTATTTTGTTACAAACTGAATAATTTTTTAAAACTAGCTGAGGAAAATCACGTTAAAAAAAGTTAGTTATTTAATTGATAATTTATAAATTATCCCGAGAAAAAATATTTATATATAATTATATATATTTATATATAAATTGGTTATATATGATTATATATGAAAAATGGCCAAATATAATCATATCTAATTATGTATAATTATATATAGCAATATTTAATTATATATTTATTACATCTAATTAATTATTGGGTTAATTTTATGGATAGAGTATTTAATATGGTCCTACGCATGCAACTCTGTGTAACCAATCAAAATGCAAATAAAATATCTAGATCTAATTTTATGGCTATAACACCAGCGGTCACCCATCCAACTATTAACCCTGCTCAATGCTGCGTAACTTTAGTGATCTCCGTGCGTCTTGAAGTTTCTGTCTGCTGTGCTGCTGTCTTAGACAATAATGATTCTATGATCTACTTAATGTATCATATGAGTTTATCATAAATATAATATAAAAATTGATTTTATATTATATTTGGATAGTCATAATTCATAATTTATTTATTTTACCGAATTTCATTATAATATAACACTTATTTAAATAATAAAATAAATAATAATTTTACTATTAGGTAATAGCAGAGCAGACAAATATCTCATCGAAAATGAGACAAATTTTGTATTTCAGAATTATTTAAATGTAATTATAAACATCATTTTATACTTTTTGTGATTACCAAAAAAAATTTTTTTTTTTTAAGAAAAAATTTTTATGTATGTTAATTATATATAAGCATATATAATTATATATGATTATATATAATTCTATATAATTATATATGTGATTCCATATATAATCATATATAATCATATATGATTATATACAATTATATATGATTATATACAAACATTTTTTCTCGGGTAGCTAAGAATTCAACAAGAAGCAAGAATTATAATAATAACAAGATTATAGTTAAATGCTTTTGAATTTTTTTAAACCATTTTGAATCATTTCAAATCTCGAGATTAACTATTAACAAATATTTATTAACATTTAATAAATCAGATTAAATAAATAATTTATTAACTGCATTGACATTATATATTTACAAAAAATATGAAAAATTTTATTTTTTCAGCTGAAAAAAAAAGTTTTTAAAATTTTCAACAATTTAAATAATTGTAACAAGAACACTGATAGAAGGATTAATTAACTATTAATAATTTATTTTATTTGAAAAGACAATTATTTAATTCATTAAATTTTAATGTTTATTGTAAAGTACCAAATTCTATCACAGCTCATAATTATCTTTTATATTTTTAAATATTAAAAAAGTTAATTGAATTATTATTATGTATTCCAGCTATTTTTGCTTTTTATTTTAAATAAATATTTGTTAACAATTATTAAATTGTACTTAATAAATTACTTACTAATTGTTAATAAATATTTTGTTAATGATCTTTTTTTAACCAGAGATAATACTTTGTTATATTTTAATATTAAAATAATACTTTTAAGTTAAATTAATGTTGAGAATATATAGAAAAAATGTTAACATTTGGTGATTTTAAATAAGAATAATAAACTTACCTTTTTATTATATCTATACTTAAAAAATTCTAACTAATTTCATTTATTGATTGTCATAATTACATAATTCATGACTCATGCGTAATTTTAGAATGAGTTATCAGCTATAAATTGAACCTAATTTTAATTTTTCACTAACTAAAAAAAAAAAAAAATGAAAATTTGTCCATAAAATAATGTAGAAAAAAAAATAAAAAAATATATCACTATCTTATTATTTATTCCTCTAGAAATTGAAATGGGAATATAAATTTAACATTTAAAAAGTTTTTAATGAAAATTTAATGTCATATTAAATGATTGAATTTTATTGAGTACATAGGAAAATTAGTTTTATACATTTTATGATCAATCTTTAACACAAATAATATTTAATTATAACAAAAAGGGGTAAATAAATTGGATAAAAATCCATACATTTCTTTTTGTTTCAATTTCTAAACATCAGAGTGTAAGCAATCGAACTTATTGTCGGATGTTGATGATTCTTGAGAACGTTAATAATTTTATAGAATTTTTCATCATCTGACCGTCCGTTTAGAAGTAATAAATACGCTGCAATAATAGTTGCTTCTTCAATATTAAACGCTACTAAAGCTTCAATTACATCCAAATTATTCCAACGCAAAGTAAAATCGTGGTTAGCATGTCTGAATGTATTCAAAACAACGTATAAATGTACAGCAATTTCAGAAATATACTCGGCAGAAAAGGTTGTTATCCATGATGGTAATATTTTGGTAATTTTACCAGCGATTTCTTGCGGTGAAATTTCACCTCTTATTAAAGTAAGCAATGTTAAACGCAAAAACGCTTCTGGATCATGGTGTGGTTTCAGTAGAGAATGAAAAAATTCTAGTAAAATACTAACTAATCGTTCTTGCAACGAATCACGAGGTAAAATATAAATAGTGTCACAAGCTAAATTGTGTACAAAGTAATTTGCCGGATAAAATGTCGGATGATTTGACTGTGGAACATTGATATTTTTCACTATTTTAGTAAAGATGTCTCGAAAATGATTCAATCTCTCTTCAAGTTTATTTCGCGCCGGAACAATATAACGATTAATCAAATAAGAATGCCCTGAAGAGAGTAAATTTTTTGGTAGCGACAAATCAAGAACATAACTATCAATTATTTTTTTATGTTGTTCATCAGAAAGAAGAGCGGATATATTATTCGGAATATCAAGTAATTCCATGATATAATTCTTATCAGTTTTCTTCGGGTCATCTTCAACATTACAAAGCTTACGAAAAACAATGAATAATTTTTCAACATAATCCGCAACATATTCGTTGGGAACATACTCAAATTCTAGCAAACTTGGAAAAATATCTTTATCATCTGGTTTAAGATCATCAAGACATTCTTTCAGCATCTCCCAAGTTTCATTGTTAGAATTAGATTTAAAAGCATTAAATATATTAGTAAAAACTAATGTACGAATAGTTTGATGCGTTTCCGATCTCCACATATCAATTAAACTTCTACGTAGTTGCTTAATATCTGCAACCATACAAAACAAACGAATGCCATGTTTCTTTATAGATACTGGACGATCCATCAGTGTCAATGCAAATGGTACGACTTTAGCTACTGATGTTCGCCGGCTTACATTGACAAGACAATTGATTATATTATGGATATAGTCACCAACACAGAATTTGAGGGTGCAATCTAAAGAAACTGCTGGGTTAACTAGATTGAATGCCATAGAAGAAGAGCACACCATTTGATAGTCAGTTTTTGCATCTTCTGGGTCAACATCTATCGTCGCAGACGATGGTATGAAAGGAGTAATCACCTGTTCGAAAGCCGGTCCTTCTAATAGTAGCGCCAAAACAATCAATGCTTGGGCATCTTTCGTCTCCTCGATGATTTTCAAACACTCTTCCGCGAATTTAATCGGCAAATCTTGATACCAACGAGATAATTTTATGAATTCATAAATTATTAGATCATGAGTTGATCTTAGGCAACTTTTCAAACAATACTTCCAATTACGCATTATTATTTCTGGATTCGTTCGGAGTGTTTGTAGCATACATGAGAGGTTTTCTTCTTCTTTAATGTTTGCAGCTAATTCTTTATAAAGATCTTGCTCTTCTTCTTGTAAAATTCTTAGTATAAATATTAAATCATGATCGTACTCGGTGTTTTCTATTATAATTTTTTCAGTAACATTCAGTACCCAAGGAAAATCTTTGATTGACATTGGCTCAAAAGGAGACTTAGCCTTCAAGTTATGTTTGTTGAAGGTATAAATTGATAATATAACATTTTTGATCAATTCAGTGCTTGGATAATCTTTGTCATGGGGTTTTTTAGTAGGAAGTACTTTGAGAAACTCCTCCAAACACTGTTTTTCGAATACAATATTATCTTCTAAAATGTTAAATGAATCCCGAGATTGCGAGATAATCAAATCGGCCACGAAGCTTATCTTATCTTCAATAGAATGACTGTTTTCTAACTCAAAGCGAATGAAAAATATTATTATTTTTACTTGTAATACATTTAACCAATAATCGGACTTATTTTTGATATGTATGAACTTCAAAAAATTGTAAATTACATCCCAATGTTCTTGTGATAGATTTTTCAAGTATTTTTCACTGGATATCATATCTAAAATATCGCATAATAAATACCTTTGTTCGTTTTTATGTCTCGTTGTAATGTACTTAAGCACTTCAAGCAGAGCGTTATTATCAGAATTGACATAGCAAGTGTAAATTAGTTGTTTAAGTAAATGCATCCGCTTGCTTTCCTCAGAAGTTTTTTTTATCAGTGCTTTTATATGTTCTACTGACTCTTCTGGTGACAGATAACAAATCCATGATTTATCTGAGAAACGAAATTCATCAGATGGTTCTTTTTCCATTTTAATTTTCGCTTGTTTAATTCGCTCATCACGTGGAAGTAATTTCAAGGCCTCTGGGGTAATTTTTTCAGTGCAGTCCAGCAGATTCAGTTTATATACTTCTTTGAATGTAGAGAGCATCAGTGGTAATTTTTTATCTACGGGAACGAATTCGAGGTACATCAACAGTTCGTCGAACTCGAATGATTTCAAATCTTCACGAAACATCTGTGTAAAAATGTTCTTAAATTGCTCTTCGTTCAATTTTTTGGTCACTGTTTTCAAATCCAACATTGGTAAAAATAATTTAGCGTTTTTTAGTAAAGCATCAATGCAATTTACCAAAAACAATTCAGTGCGAGTGTTACTAAGTTTTAGATAGTAAGAACAATCGTGCATCTCAATGAGCTCCACAAAAGATTTTGGGTATCTCTTCAACAAGCGGGGAAGAAAATCTGAAAAATCAAACAAATAAACGCGTTTTAAATTTCGTTCAAACGGATCGTCACTTATTTTGCTCAGCTTTAGATATTTAACAATTAATTCTGGATACTTGTAAAACAAAAATCGTACAATTCTATCATCGAGGCGCACTTCATGTTCTGTGATGCGATTCCAGATAAATGATTCACTGCAAGCTTTGAGAAGCGGATAAGCTTGCTTCTCTCCGTACATGTCGCAAAGCAAAACATAAAATTTTTCAGCAATGTCAGATTTTTCATTCAAATTATCACCTAAGGTTTTCATAATTTTAATTCGACTTTGCAGAGATACATACGGTAAAATATGTGTTTGGTAGTACTGGACTGTCGAACAAGCTTCAATACTGCCGTTGAAAAACCACTTAACTTTAATTGCGCGACTGAAGACTACTGAGTCATCGGATTTTAATGCGTCAACAATACCATCAGGTTGCCGTAGTAATCGGGCAATTTCCACTTGTACTAGAGGTTTCAATGCTTCTGGTACTTCTTCCAAATCAAGAGCATCTTGATTCTTCGATTTTGATTCGACGATTTTCTTCGCAATGCGATTCAGAGCGTTGAACTTTTCACTCAATTTACTTCCCGGAATTTTTTGGATTCCACTCAAATACGGTGACAATTCCATGACGTTCATATTTGTTTAAATACCGGCCACCAGTGATCAATGTTGATGATCTTGGATTGTTACGATGATGATGATTATTACTAATGATTATCATAAAAAATTCAACACAGCTATCGCGTAAAACTCTGTTAAAATAAGGAAGTATCACTTATCTAAATAATTATCACTGATTCTAATATTATATAGCACCACAATATGTAATTTCACTGCTTTATATTTTTTTTAATATCATTTGAAATAATTATTTTCAAAAAATACAGAATTCATTTGATTAATTGTATCAAAGTTTAGTTTTATGAATTTAATAAGCTTGAGAATTTCGGTTAAATCGGAATTTCTAATTAAATATGTGAAGGCACTGCGTATTATATATAAAATGTCCACGCTTACATCCAGCTTATAGTAAGCAGTCATCTTTCAATCTACGCATGCTCCGTTTTATATACTTGCTTTGCTAGTATAGAATAAAACGAATACTGCATACTATTCACTCGCATGAAGATTAAAGGTGTTCATATTCACATTAAAAAAAAAAAAAGTTCTTTTCAATACTTCAATACTAACTAGTTTCATAGCTTCGAGAATTGACGTCACCTCAACTATGTAATTATCATTCAATTTTCAGAAATAACCATTATCTGACAATTATCTCAATAAAATACATAATTATGAAAAAAAAAAAAACCAATTTCGTCTTGGTTCATTAATAGAATTTAAAAATCATTAACAAAATGCTGACACCAGAAATTTGGTGAATAAAATTTCTCATTTAATTGTTTTAATAATTGCCAAATTATTGATTGATTAATGCATTTTATTTAGTCGCATATTTTATAAAATGCGTTCAACATTTGTATTATATTTTTTTAAGTTGATATTGAGGAAGAAAAATTTTTTTTTCAAAAATTGTTCAAGAGCCTCTCAAGAATTAGAAAAAATTCTATTTCTATACATTAAAAAATTACATAAACATTTCGGAAATTTTTTCCATTATTATCGTGACTATTTTTATTATATCAATAATTAACTTCGGTTAGGTTGTAATTGTAGTTTACTTTTTGAAAGTAGACCATAATATTTATTTTTTTAATTTTATGAAAATTTTTCTATCAAGAGACATTCCCTTGCGTTGGATTTTCATTAATTTCTTCTAAAAAAATAAAAACTTCGAAAAATAAAACCCTCTGACAGCCGATAGTATATTTAAAAATCTATATACAGTACAACCTGGTTATAAGTTACATCAGATGATCTACTCACTCTCCGCAGGTTGTACTGTAATTGCTTTACTGAAAAAAAAAAAAAAAGACAAAAATTACACTATATAATGTAACGTGGCGCTTCATCTTGAAAACTGAAAAAATTACACACGGAAAAAAATTAATTATACTACCTACTATACAAAAATAGTAACTCCTACTATCTAAAATGGTAATAAAATTAATTAGTAACAAAATAATAGGTGATATCATTGACAATTGTAATAGTTATTATTAATAATGGTAACGATTACTATCAAAAATAATAATTGTAATTACTATAAATTATAACTGTTACAATCGAAGATGGTAACCATCTCAGATTGTAAAAATTCTGAAAGAAAAAATAATATAGATTTACTTAATTAAATTCTTTATTTAGATCCATATTTTAGCTAATGTACATTTTTTTCTTTGAAATATTAAAATATTTTAAATTCCCTTCAAAATTTTTTTTTGAAAATTTGATTTATTTGAATTTTATTGAAAATTTTGATTATTTTGGAAATTTAAAATTTTTTTTCAAAAATTTGACATTGAAACTTGATTTAGACAAATAAAAATTTAAATATATAATTTCAATCCGAATTTAATCCCGATTTTTTGGGCACTACAGCTGCTTTTAGTTTATTCAGAAATGCATCCACGGTAACGCAGATTCTTAATTTTTTTAATATTTTTTACTAGTTTAGATAGTAGTTATTATTATGACTGATGGTAACTACAACCATCAGGTTATATTAGGAATTACGATTTTGATAATAGTAGTAACTAATTAAAATAATAACAGTTATTATTACTGATTACCATCATAATAGTAGTAGTTACCATCAGGATGGTAAATACTACAATTCAGATGGTTTACTTAATTATTTAAATAATATTTACTACTATCGAATTCAGTTAATAGATTTTAACATAACTAGATAATAAACTCTACTATAAAATTTTCTCCGTGCAGTTTCAGATTGTAATTTTTACAGATTTTGTAAGAATTTCATTGTAAAATGTAAATATTACATTTAAAGCTCTGAAAATTAACATTCGAAGTTTGAATTTCAAGTTTTATTTCGAACTGCAATTTTTCTAGTTTTAAATTTAAAGCGTCACTAATTACTATTTATAATGTAATTTTTCCCTTTTTCTTTTTTCGGCAATCAGAACATTTTTTTCAAAATTTAAAAAAGCAATTTTCAATAAATATTTTACGAATTGTAATTTTTTTCCGTATTTGCATGAATATCAATTGACGATACATTTTTCTCATCATCAGAAGTTTTGATCAGATAATTACAAAATGACATGTATGTTAAAATATCATGTAAACTTGGGCAGAGACTAAGCATTAAATAATCCAAATCTTGTTGGATATATTTATAACTATATAAATTAACTCGTGCTTTATCATAAGCGATTTGGATCGGAAGTCTTAACAATCGAACAACTCCTTTTCCGAGCCCATACTCAACATATTTACAAAATTCATACAAAGAAAGTTCGTTTTGTGTAACATGAGCCCACCTTGCTTCATCTTCAACGACAATTTCCGGTAATAAGCAATCGGGATTTTCATCAGTTTCCATTTTGCTCAAATTTTCATCGACATTTTTGTCATTATGCTCGTCAATATCTTCACTATCAGATTCCGCGTTATCACTTTCAGTTTCATTTTCATCATCGACATCAACCGATTGTTGCAATTCTCGAGCATAGCATAATTTTTGGTCCTCTGACTGTTGTACTAATTCACTTAAATTTTTTATAGCCAGTCCGCAAAAGTTAAATAAAAACACTTGCATTACAGAAGTGAGATCAGACTGTGTATAATAGTCTTTCATAAATCCAGAATAAGTAATTTGCAAATACCAGTTGCGAAAATGAGGAAATCCAAATTCAATCGCATCTCCAGTCTGTGGTGATTTTGTGATGTAGTAATAAGATCTCAATCTGTTAGACCCACTGATTCTGGGAGACTCACGCTGTAATAACAATTTTTTTATGTCTATTTTTAATAAACAGTCTTGATTCTTTATTTCATAAGGTAAGTTAATGAAATCCATTTTTCACAGCAGTCATTTATTATTTAGTTTAGCTTTTTTAAATGATAATTTTCCTTCCTTCTAATATAAACGATTATTTTGATTTTTTTTTTTTTAAAAGAATGAGTCAACTTATTTTATCAATATCTTTTGAAACAAAAATTAAAGAGTCAATTTTATGTTATACAAAACAATACTGATATCAGCAAACATATGATAATTATTGAAATTTTTATAACAAATCAATTACAATCATAAAAATGCCTAAAAAAATTTCCATTAATAATTTTTTTTAATTTTCACATGTGAAATTGTTTAGTTAAATTTTTTTCATAATAATTTTATTGAAATAAAATTATAAAAAAATTTCTAATATCAGTTAACTTCAAAGTCTTCAATTATTTAATTGTTAAAAATTTGTAAAATGTCTGTTGATTTAAATATCATTATGTCAAAACTAGTATTTTTATTTTTCAATGTGTTAAATTCAAAGTTTTCCTCATAAGTATATAATTTCTTTTCATTTCTAATGATACTGAAATTTCCGCATAATACAAAAGTTCGTCGACGTTTTTTATTTTTATTTTTTTCATTTATTAAATTAGAATTAAAAAATATTTTTTAAAAATTGCACTTATAGTTTGCCAAGTTTTTTCTAAATGAATTTTTTTTTATTTTTTTGTAATAGTTTTTTCAATAAAAAAAATTTTAAAAATCTTTAGATATCGGCTAACTTAATTTTCATATTTTTTGCAGATCTAATTATTTTTTAAATAATCATCACAGTATTAAACAAATGTAAAAAAAAAATTCTACATGAAAAATTAAAAAAAAAAAACAATGCAATTTTATAAAAATTAATTTAGCATCGATTTAATAATTTTAAGAATTTTATAACAAAATAAATGAAAAACAAAAAAACAAATAAACAAAAAAAGTAGAAAAAAAAATTGACATATAGAGATTAAAAAAAAACATGCAATTTTTTTAAAAATAAGTTTTTGGAACAAATTTGTTTCTTAAAAAAATTAAAAAATTGTCTAGTGACTACTAACTTTAATGTCCTTGCTATTTTATGAGATTTAAGTTAGCTGTCACCTCACCATTTTAAAAATTATTTTTTACAAACAAATTTGTTAAAAAAAAATATTTTTAAAAAATTGCATTTTCAATTTTTTTAAATTTCTACATCTCAATTTTTTTCTCATTTTTTTTTGCTATAATTTATTTGTTAAAAAAATTTCTAAAATTAAAAAAAAAATATCTACTAAATTAAATGACATTGAAGTTAGCAGTTAATAATTTTTTAATTTTTTTTAACAAACAAATTTCTTTCAGAAAATAATTAAAAAAAAATTGCATTTTTAATTTTTTGAAATTCCTACATGTCAATTTTTTTTTTTTCATTATTATTACCTCAATTTAGTTGTTAAAAAAATTATAAAAATTTACTAAATATCTGCTAAGTTAATTTTCATTGTAATTTTTTACTATGTTTTCTTAGAGCTAATTTATTTATTAAATAAAATTAAAATAATCAGCTAAGTACTTACTTTCAGTATTATCGCTTCTTACTCAAATTTTAATGAGAAAAAAAATTTACGTGACAGTTAACTTACTGGTTAGTCTGGTTACTTGACAAGTAATTAAAAGAACTAGTAACTTTCAATAATCACTAGCAAAATTGGTAACAAGTCACTAGTGACGCATGCGCAAATGTTAATTCAGTTGTCCCGCCATTCTAAGAGCTCTAAGAGCACAAGTAGCTGTAGATAAATGATAGATATAAGTATAGTACATGTCATGCAATGTATGTACAGAAATCATCACATGTAAGCGCTTTATAGCGAAACCGGTGCTTGTTTAATTATCGTTGTTCATAATATTGTTAATAATAAAAAAAATGGAAGGTAGGAAAGTTATTAACATCACATAAATATTCACAAACAATTATTTTATGTGTAACAGTATCATAATTTTAACGATAAGTGGAGGTTTTATTTTATAGGTTATAACATTGAATTTTAATTAATATATTTAATTTATTTGTTTATGACAGAAAAAACTGGAATTAATGATGCTTGGACATCTTTCAAAGAACTCCAAAATTTTATTGAACGCTATGTTGTATCCGCATCGACAACACATGATCCACAGTATCATGAATTTATGGAAACACTTAGAAATCATCGACAGAATTTTTTGTCATTGATGAAAAATCAGGTAAGCAATTTTGTTAATTTAAAAAATTAGAAAATTTTATGGTGAATTTTTATTTCTGGTTTTGGAGGTTTTAGTTTTAAAACTGAAAGAAAAGGTCAAGAAATTTTTATTTTTGATTTTTTATATTAATAAATTAGGTGATAATTAATGTAAATTTAAAAATCAAGCGATGAAATTAGATTTTAGTTTTTTAAAAAATTTTTCAAAGTTTTAAATTATACAAAATATTTCAATAAGAATTCATGTTGATAATTTAAAACATGTTAATAAAAAAAATAAATTACACTTTGATAAATTTTTTTAAAAATTTTCATCATTAGAGGCTCTATAAAATGATTAATGCAATTTTTTAAATATATTTTTATAAACCTTAAAAATGGAAAAAAATTTCATTTGAAAAAAACTTAGCAAACTATAAGTGCAATTTTTAAAAAATATTTTTTAATTTAATTTAATAAATGAAAAAAAAATAAAAATACTAAACTGACATAAAGATATCTACATCAACAGACATTTAAAAAAATTTTAATAATTAAATAATTAAAGACTTTGAAGTTAATTGACATGAGAAATTTTTTTATAATTTTATTTCAAGAAATTAAAAAATTTCACATGTGAAAATTAAAAAAATTATTAATGGAAATTTTTTAAGGCATTCTTATAATTGTAATTGATTTGTTATAAAAATTAAAAAAAACTGATAGTTGTCAATTAATTTCTGTATCATCAAAATTATAAAAAAATTTTCACATGTAAAAATTTTTAAAAAATTATAAACGCAAATTGATAAAAATATTTTTTCATCATAATTAATTTGTTATAAAAATTTCAAGAATTATCAGATGTCTGCTGATTCGAGTATCATTTGAAGACGTGAATAAAAGTTTTATGTCGTTTTTTTACAAGTAAAAGTAATTTGTATTCACTTCATTTTGACATTGCTTTCATTGTGATATCATAATACTGAAATTGACAAATATCGTACAATTTTTAGGATTTTTCTTAACAATTTAATTAACAAAAATTGAGAAAAAAAATAATACATAGTGAAATTTAAAATTACTATAAATACAATTTCATAGTGAAATTTAAAATTACTATAAAATACAATTTAAAAAAAAATTTAATACATTTTTATTTGGTCACGGAAAAAATAGACCAGACAAAAATAGACCCGGAAAAAATTTTAACGTTATGAAAAATTCACATTATTTCATTAAAATTTTTATAGAATAAAAGAATTATTATAATAATAATTGTATCACACTCACAATTTTCCTGAAAAACAAGCACCCTCAGAATGATCGCTCCATTTTTTGTTAGAAAAAAAAATATATTATTATTATTATTATTAATTAAAGAGTATATTATTTCAAAGCCATTATTCCCGATCCAAATTGATGTTAGACTAATTTTGATATTAAATTTTTATTTATTAATAAATTTATTTTCACCACTTTTCGGTATGAGCACTCATTACCATCTTCGGGTGAATATATCTAATAATTAAAAATTTTTTATTTTTAATTATTATTTTTATCATAATTTTAATGAAATAATATGAATTTTTCATAACTTTAAAAATTTTTTCCAGAATTCTTTTTATTTATTGAACACAATTAAAAAAATAAAAAGATAAATTCTTTTTTTATCTAAGCGCAAATTCCTAAATGAACTACCAGCAGCAGCCCATAACATTATGCTGTACTTTTCGCTCATTCAGAAATATGCGCTTAAAAAATATTATTCAAATTTACTGCTTTAGATCCATCTCTAATAATCTAAAACAAATTAATACTTCCAATTTATTTCTGTCCATAATTATAATAAATATTTTTTTCTAGCCGAAAGATGCAAAAAGTCGAGAAGAAATCCAAAAAGGAATAACCGAAAGCGTGACTTTGCCAGGCCTGGGAAATCATGTGCTCTCCAAGGAACTAGTAGATGAAACAATAATAATCTCCGACATGTACGACTTGAATGAATTTATAGCCCTGGACCTTCTCTGCACAGCTCAACTCCAAATGTCTAACCACCCTGGACTAACCCGTGGCTTAACAGCGATTCTTCTGTACTATGACGGAAGAAAAGCACTAACGTCAGCTCTGAGAACTTTAGTGCATGCTCGTATAGGTCACAGTTGGGTTCTTGATACTCCAGTAGCGTTAACAAAAAAAATAACCGAGTACACAAACAAAATGCAAGAAGACGGTCTATTGGACCGTGTACTGTCACTGCTAGAACAGATGGATCCAATAAAAGAGCAGGATCTTTTGCAGCAAAATCGTGCACTTGGAGGTCCTAAGCATCATCAGATGGTGATGAGACTGTACAATGACACTCGACAAGACTTGGCGGACATACTTTACCTCTGGTCAGCTCAAACTTCACTACCAACTCAAATAACATTTAAATTATTGTCATTCTTGAGAAGACGTCAACCAGAAACTGATGCTAGAAATGGCGGACCAGATAAAGTAACGCTTGCTTTAATTATGGCCCTACTCAGTGCCATTAATTTAAGCTCACTTAATAACCGCGAGGACGGAGAAGTTATTGTTAAATCAGTGCCACTTGTTGCTGAACGTGGTGTACTTGAAGAGTTGTTTCAAGAATTAATGAACCCAAATGTGGCTTGGGAAAATTCTGGGCTCTGTGGTTTGATACAATTAGCACTGGCTGTTGCTGTTACGACGATAAAATCAGCTTCTAATTTGTCAATTGGCCAGAATATAAATCAAGAGGATGAAATTCTTGTTGAAGCAGCCCTCTCTAACAAAGCATTCCACTGTTTAACC